CCTTGTCTCTTGGAGTGCTTCAGAGCATCACATGTATAATTAACCAAGATACCTGAGAGGAAAGATTGACGTCCCCGCTAGTAGAAGAATAGACTAGACAGAAGACCAAAGAGAGAGCAAAAGGACTCTAAAAGCCATCGAGAGCTTTGGAAGGAACAATAGAGGCTGAAGTTTAAGGTAGGGGTGATACCTGCATTGGTTACCTATCACTACATAACAAAATGACTCAAACCTTAAGTGATTTCAACATTAAATTTCCCATCTCAGCTTCAGTCAGGAATCTGGGTGTAGCAGGCTGTTCTCCAGTCTTTGATCACCCACAAAGCTGCCCTCACTTGGAATTGAACAGCAGCGTCTCCTTCCTAGGTCACCCCGTGATCGCTGATAGAGTCCAGTTCCTCATAGGTGGGGAGATGAAGGCCTCAATTTCCCAAGTGGAGGCTGCTCTCCTTCTCCTAACAAGTGGAGCTCTCCTTGGAGCCCTTTATAACATAGTGGCAGGAGGGGGGCAAGGAGGGGAAGAGCCCCTTCCAGAACTAGGAAGGCACATATCACAGTGCTTGTAACCTTTCTGACAGCCATTGTATGCCTTCCTTAGGTGCCTGGCACTAAAGGACATTACATAAGAGCGTGAAGTGGCAATCACAGGACAGCTGAGAAGCTTGCCTAGCACTGTAACACTGTAGGTGTTCATCTCAGAAAACACTTGATTTGGGATGATCCTACAATATGTGTGTGAAAAGCAGATGTTTGGAGACCAGGTTTGCGGGACTTGAGGTTAAGCCTGCTGTGCAGTCCTCAGGGTTCTCTAGAATATTTTAATATCAACCCACAACATGGGTCACTATAGAGACAGAAATAATAACAACTAGCTGGGTGTGGTGGTGCATACCTGGAGTCCCAGCCCTCTGGAGACTGAGGCAGGAGGAAAGTCATGAGTTCAAGGCCAACCTGCGCTTCATATGGAGTTCAAGACTGCTTTGAACTACGTAATGAAACCCACCTCTAGAAACCAAAAGAAAGAAAGGAAAAGGAAAGGAAATAAAAGCAACCAAGCCCTTACATGCAGCATTGATGTTTCCAAGCACTTGCAAATTCATAATCTTTTTTCCACTCGTTCTCTGTGAAGCTAGTGAGAAAGGTGCCCTTGTTCCCCACACTCTGCTATGAGGAAGGAAGGCTCCAAGAACACATCATGTCACTTGCGTAAATTGTCACAACTAAACTGGTGTCAGATATGCATGGTTCTGAGCCTTTCATTTATCCATTGGGATTTAGGCTAAGGCAGGACATTCCAGTGCATGCTGGGTATAAAACTGCAAGTCTACTAGCTGCTTTGAGCCATGAGCTACACAGCACGACCCAGCCCAGCCTGCTCAGCCTCTCCTTCCTCCCCTCTCCTTACTTAACCACCTCCTCCTTTCGCTTCCATATTCTGTTCATCTGCAGTCAGAGTCCAAGAATTGAATTCCCTCAGCTTATGGGCATGAGTGATAAAGTGGCCCCTGGAGAATTCACAGTCCAGTAAAGGAAACAACTGATAAGGACAAAATGTGTAAGCAGTAAATAAGCCTGGTTAATAGCGTGCCCCAGGGACATGGGATACAGCAAATCAGTTTTTGGTAGTTTGATAGAGGTGAAATACTGATATGGGCAAGAAATGCCATATTCACACTGTCTACCACCCATCAGGATCCATTTATATTAAAGGTCGTAATTATATTACATGCATCAAAACACTGCTTGGTAGGTTATCTTTTGAATTCTGTATAACTTTGTGCATAATAAAACTGTATTTATGTTCTTAAAATTTTTAAAAGTACCTTGTTTTATATGAGCCTTGGCACATGCATTAGGTTATATATTTAGGCTGTAACCTCTTATTTAAATGTGAGCATGTCCAGTGAAGGCAAACAGCTTTTTACAGCCACTACTATGTTTCCAAATAGCAAAATACATTCCACGAACAAAGAATAGGACAGTGGTTTAGGTGTGAGGCTGTCTAGTATCTGCACAGAAGCATACTGAGGTGGCACCTTTCCTCCTGTATCCTTGTAAAAGTGTTCTGGGGCCAAAGTGGGACAGTGTCTCCTTCCCATGCCCTTCTGCCCATTCCCCAACCTCCCCAACGTAGTCCACACTTCCTCCTTCCTTCCGATGCCTTCCTGCATCAAGGAGAACCCAAATTTGGTCCCCATCTTGTTGTGTAACAGATTTTGGCTTTTCCAATGTTTTAGATGAGCTAGTATATCTCCAGAAGTCTGTTTACCTGTAGTGTCTAGTTTTGTGGGGAAATTATTATAGCTAAGTAGGCTGGCTATTAACCATAATGGATACTGCCTAGGAAAGAATTTTGCTTTTTGGTTTTAATAATGTCCTTCCATAGAGCTGAGAGAGAAAAGAAAGCCTGCAGAAACCTTCAAAGGCATTGCCTTTCTCATGCACCTGGCTCAAATGTCTTTACTCAAATGTTTATTTAGCAGTTTGTTTAAAGGAATAAATCTTCAGTTTTCACCTAAAACCCCAGCATCACCTGCAGACTTTCTTAGCTCAAAGGCCACAGTGAGACAAGTACCACATCAGAGCACTAGGCCCAAGAACAGACTCCAGAAGAGTCTGAAACAGGAAGATGGAGTGTGTTCACCTTTGATTTTGCACAGATGTGGGGCAGGGGCCCTGGGCAGGGCCAGCCAAGTGAGGAGGGAGAGTCCGGGGCAGCCGCACATGGAGCCTAAGGTACCAGTGGTGACCTCCCCACATCAAGGCTGGGGGTCATGGGTTCCAGGAGGCCTGATGGCCTCCTCTGTCCTCGGATCGCCTGGGTTGCTTTGGAGCTCCAGCTGATGAGAAGGTGGGCCAGCAGTGCTGCTCAGGGCACAGGAAATCTGGCTGCTCCTCCCACTTAAGTTCTTTGAGCCTTTCTTTCCCTCTGAAGTAGCTTCCCACTAAGTCTCCAAGAGAACTCCAGTCTCTCTGGCTACAAGTTTTAGTTTGCTGTTAGTTAAGATCTGCAGTGAAATGGACCTTTCACTCTTGCTTCTGTTTTTATCCGGTTGGAAATCGTTCCAAGCAAGCCAAGCATCAGGTAGCACACACAGGGGAGGAGCAAAAGTTTGAGCCAAGCCTGGGCAACTTAGTGACATAGAAGGACCCAGTTTCAAAATCAAAAGAGGTAGGGGGCTGGGAGCTCATTTGAAGGCCCTAGGTTCAATCACCAGTACTAAAAATAGAAAAGAAGAAAAGAAGGGGGGTGGGAGGAAGATGAAGAAGAGAGAAAAAGAGAAAAAAGGAAAAGAAAAGAAATCATTCTAGCCCCCCTTATTATTATTTTCTCAATTCACTGGATCCAATAGGGAAAAAAAAATATGAGCTAAGAGAAGAAAATGGGTAAATTTCTCACCTCCACTTCAGCAACGCGTTGGGAGAGGAGTGGAAAAAGGGTTTAGGGAAAGGGGAACCTTTCCAATAGCCATGGTCTCCATGGAAACTTGCTCTTCCATTCAGTCAGAGGGGCAGCGGGACTCCCCTTCTGCAGAGGCCACCGAGTGCCATGGCACATTGCCTTCTTTAGGCCCAGTCGTCTGTCCCTAGGTACAGAGCTGACTGTTCCCCAGGAAGTAAAATGTTGACTGAGGTTTTACTCCAACATGGTCCCTGTTGCTTACTAAACAAAACAATAATTGTTTATAGACTTTATTTCCAGGAATACATTAACATTTGTTGAATTCAAAATTTCACGGTGTTCACTGTAACTATCTTCATCTATATCAAGAGAGTTAAGGACTTAAATACATATATGGTGGCATATGCCTGGTATTTTAAGTACAGTAGATAGTTATAGGCCTTTTCTCAAGGACCTTAACTGTCAGACAGACAGTAATAATTTCAAGCCATTCTCATAATGCATTTTAGGACATTTATGCCCTTGCCTTGGAAGCCAGTGGTTGAAATAGCCATGCAGAGGTGCTAGACAAATGTGGTGTCATGAGTTTTGCACTTCATAAGACCATTGCCTGTGCGGTAACCTTCAATGTCATGTTCTCTCCTTAATTTAACCCTAAGGAACAGACTCCGAAAGTTATCAACTAGCAGGAGATAGTATACCCTGCACACCTGTCTTTTAACTCCAAACTCACGGGAATTCCAGTCATTCTTCATTGGAGAGAGATTTTCAGAAAAGAAGTTTTATTTTGTCACCACTTTCTTATCCCTGGTGCTGGGTCAGCCAATTGTTTTCACTCATTAGTAAATCTGAAATTAACAGGAGCCCAGTTGCGGTCCAAGGAAAACTTGTCTTCAAAAGTCTTCATGCTTTTGAGAGTAAAAAAGTGGTAACGGGTACCAGATAGCCACAGTCTTTGGCTGAATTTCTTTCTAGGTAATGACCCCAACTTTTTTTTAATCACTGTGGTAATTAAATCATTGTGTACTACAAAATTTACCATATCTAAGTGCTTAGTTCAGAAGTGTTATCACACTGTTGTGTATAATTCCAGGTTCAGTTTCTTCTCTTTATAACTCATTTTTGTCTCTCACTTTATGCTTCCATGTTTTCCTAATTTTCTGCTAAATATCTCTGGATCATATATTTCATTATCCCAGGGATCTGGCTGGACAGAGCCTTTCCTAAGAACTTTTATTAGAAACCTTTTTAAAATTCAAAACCAACGTCATGACTGCCTGTGGGCAGGTGGGGCTGGATGCTTACAACTCCTGATGAAAGCCTTATCATTTTCTATAATTAGGGGATGGGGCAGAAGGATGAGGGTAAGAGGTAAGTTTTCTATTTATTTTCCAACTTTTCCTCATAGTTGTGAAACTCTGCTATTTGAGTGTTCTTGACACAGAGCCTGATGGGTATTTTCCTTTATATGTCATTTGCCCTATTTTGCCTTTTCATCGGTGTTGCCTTAAAAATTAATAAGAATAATGAGCAGTGAGGTATTATTCATCCCATGTGTGTAAATCATGCATTCATCTCAGGCTCCTTTTATCCCCAGAGCTTGCACGCGACAGCGCATGCTGAGCGGATCATTTGAAGGGCAACCAGCAAAAGAAAGGTCAATCCTCAGTGTACAGCATCATATCCGCCAAGAACGCAGGTAAATGTGCTAGCAAGACTGTCCTCCTGGGAACCTCAAGGGAAGGAGCGTGCACAAATGTGCAGCTGTCCGAAGCCACCCCGATTTGGACGCCAGGTTCCAGGGAGTGGCTGAGTTCTATTTGCCAGTGATAACAACAATGAAACTCACAGTCCAAATCAAAGATTCAAAACGTCTATGTTCCAAAGTCTCTTTTCCTCCGTCATAGCCAAATTCTCACTTTTAAGATCACAAGGGAAAATTGTTAGCGGGGATCAAAGGCATTTGGAAAGATGATAAGCTTTGGTTTTAAAAAGAAGTGAGATGTCTGTGAGTTCTATCGGAAAGGTTGTGGGATTTTTTGTTTTGTTTTTTATCGTGGTCATTGCTTAAAAGTCCAAATTTGATCTTGAGAGGCATTGATGGTGATTGTTTTAGGTCACTAAGACATGGATCAAACAGCCAGAGGATCAGCAGGGGGAAATCTCTTGAAACTTTGACTCAAGACGTAAGTTATGAGCAATGCTTTTGGATTTTGGACACTTGGTTATGAAAGTGTTTAAATGTCTGCCTAGATGATTCCAGTCTTTCTATCATCTTGCCATGTCTCCTTAACTCTTCATAATCAAGGAAATCAGAAAACAACACAGAAAATAAATTGCACGGCCAGGACTTAAAAAATGACTGCTAAGTTCAAAAAAATCCAGAGTACATGTCTTAGTTAAAACAGTAACACAAGAGTGATGTGTCTGTTTCATCTCACTAAAACTAAGGAAATTGAAAGCATTTATAGGAATGATTCACATTATTAAATTTGAATATTTACCCTGTTCTAAATATTCTGGAATATAGTCCTACTATTTATAATTTCAGGGCTTTACATATTAAAATACAAATGTTTTTCTAGAAAAATTCTTCCAAGGGCCACACAGAATTTGCCACAACTTTTTTTTAGACTATAGGCTATTCATGTGTCTGTTTACTGGTACAGTGGCTATTTAACAAATGCTGTCTGTACTACATCCTCTTGGAAGTAGTGAGATGTAATAAACACGAAGTGGACTGGACTGCCCTCCTGAAGCTTACAATCTAGAAAAGGAGACAGGCGAGAAGCAAGTAAAGAAGTAATGACATTTCCCAGACTGATTGTTTTTTAGTTTTCCCTCATCTCTCCATTGTGTAACATGTTTGCTTTGTTGTATAAAAAGAAATCACAGGTAGAGACAAAGAAATCACAGCTCAAAGAAATCACAGGTAGAGATTTGGGACAGAGAGTTTTAGATTCTGTGGTCAATGCAAACCCCTCTACAGTAACCTAGAGACATAAATGAAGCTAAGAAGTGAGCCGTGAAAAGGCCAAGAGGCCAATGATCAGACTACACAACAGTTATATATTACACTAAGCTACACAGCAGTTATATACTACACTAAGCTTGCCATGAAAGAGTCAGAGGCTCTAAGGGGAATGCAGGCCTGAGCTCAAATCTGGACAGTTTGGCTAAGACTGCAGTCTTGAATGTTCAGAGCCAGGAAGGGGACTGGGAAAAGAAGAGCTAATAAAGAGGGCAACCCCATGAGCTTTGGACTTTTTCTCCATCTGTCTCTTATTTCCTAAGAATTTCTGGAATATTTAGTGTACTACATCTGCTTTTACTCCAAAATCTGCTGTTGGTCCTTATGCAGTCTTCCAGGTTAAAATGAGAACAAGAAGCTGGCAATGAGATCACCTGTTTCCACCTAATGTTGGCATGGTTCTGGTTGGCACGTGGCTATTTCCACTTAGACTTTTTTAATCCAGAGTTGTCTGATTGGCTTCCATATGATTGATATCGAATTATGATCAGGGCCAACAGGAGGCCATGCACTTAGGTTTCAGAGTCAGGCATATTGCCCACAGGAAATTGCCAGCGGAAATTCAGAGGCAGCAATTCATTCTGAGCACTCTCCCTCAACATGATTCAGTGGGCATCTACCATCTGCTGGAGTCCCAAATTAGAACATATTACCTTGAAATACAGATGACAAAGGCCCAGTTTTAGTAGTCTCAAGTCCAGAAATTTTTTCTTACAGATGTAGCATATTTGTCATACAGATGTATAACAAAATCCATCAACCATCTCCCCCACAGAGAAATGTCCTGAGGTTCAGATCATTTCATAAAACATCCTTCTAATGTGTTTTCTGCCATAATTGGAGACCTTTGAGTTAGAAAATTTTAACATCTTCACTTATCCCTGATGACACAAGGTACAAACAAAATGGACTGAGAAAGGCTTCCTTTAAGTCTGCGGTGTTATATGAAATGTCCCCACCTCCCACTGAGTCTGGGTAGCCTGGGTTCAGGCTGTGCCACCTGCCTGCTCTCCAGTCCTGCCACTTGCGCTCCGCTCCTGATCTCCGGGCTCCCCCTGAGTGGGCATCCTGGCTCTTCCCCCCCTGGAAGCACACAATAGCCTGCACCCTGGCCTTCTAGTCCTTTTCCAAAATACCATATCCATAGTGAACCTACCTGTCTTCTAGCATGCTCAGGGTTTTGAAAAGTATTATTAAAACACAAGGCATCCACTAATGTACAGCACTTATTTATTTTGATTTTTCCCTGTCTTCTCTTCCATCAGTTCAACAAGAATAGTGATTATGTATTATTTTTTTTCTCCCTTACCATATTCTCAGTGGGAGACCCATACGTGGAACATTATGAAAATTTCAAAAATATATGCCAAATAATGTTTTGAGGGAAAAATGTCCTTGCTAAGCTATTTACAGTCATTTAATTATACATATAATAGTTATAGCTCAATGTTCCATATGTGATAGTTATATATGTTATAGCTATACATATACTCCATACATAAGATCTGATAAAAATGTACAGTGAATATGCGGATTTTTAAAATTTACTATAGTAAAAGACACATTGCCGTTAGTCCTCAAAATGCTCCCTCCCACTTGAGACACAGGTATCTTACCCTTCTTGGAAATCCTCTTTCATGAGAATTTTTAGTTGCAATGTCCTAGCTGCCTTGGGGTCCTGAACTGATTCAAAACATTTACTGTGGGACTGGGATTCAGCTCAGTGGTGCAAGCACTTTCCTGGCAAGAGCCAGGTGAGGAGTTTGAACCCCGGTAACAAAAAGAAAAATTTACCTTTCATGGTAGTTTGACTCTGGCAGTGCTCTGAGGGGATTAATGGCAATGTGTCTTTTACTGTAATACTGTTTCTTCATTTAAACCTTCACTGTATGTTTTGATCACACTATATAAATATATATGTATATATGTATATATTAATTTCAAAGTTTTTTAAATAGCTATAGTCTCCTCCTGTAATGTGCCTCCTCCTCCCTCATTTCTAGCACTCCAACACAGTGAGATACAGAAACGCACAAAGGGAAGACAGTGAAATAAAGATGATTCAGGAGAAAAAGGAGCAAGCAGAAATGAAAAGGTGCCGGTGGGGTGGGCTGGGCTGGGGTGGGGGAGGCTCTCCCGGGGAGGGGACGCAGCCTTGCCTGACTCTGTGGGTCCCTGCTGCCTTTCCAGGAAGGTCCAGGAGGAGGAGCTGAGAGAGAACCATCCCTACTTCGACAAGCCGCTCTTCATAGTGGGCCGCGAGCACAGGTTCCGAAACTTCTGCCGCGTCGTGGTCCGGGCCCGCTTCAACGCGTAAGTGCGCGTGTCCAGCCCGGGGGCTGTTGCTGGCGAATTGCTCCCCAGAGCCATACATTTAATTTCTTTTCTTTTGTTTGTTGAGACAGGGTCTCCTGTGCAGGTGGGCCTTGGGCACACTATGTTTGCAGTCCAGGCTGGCCTTCAACTTGCTGGCCATTTCCTCCCTTAGCCTCCCTGGTGCCGGGGTTAAGGCACGGGCCGCCAACCTTAGTGCACACCTTTAGCTCTAAATAGATAATTACACTAAAGTGAGGCCATTAGGATGAGCCATGACCCAGCATAACAAGCGTCTTTGTGAGAGGAGGAAGTGTGGAGGCTCGGAGTGAACACACACAGCCCTTGTGAAGACAGGAAGAGGGAGGACAACTATCTACAAGTGAAGGGACCACCCTGGAACAGGTCTGCCCCCACCACCCCGAGAAGAAGCAACCCTTCTGGCCCCTTGGCTGGCACTCACAGCCTGCAGAACTATGGAAAAATAAATATCACCTGCTTAGGCCCCAGGACTCCGTCCTTCTTCCCCTACCACTGCAGCCTGGAGACCCCAGGGCCCCCTCCTCCACCTATCAAGAAGGACTTTTGGGTCTGCAGAAGCTGAGGCCTTTGCTCAGGGACCCCAGCTAGTGTTTGCCTCTCTCCTGATCACCCACGTATGGTTCTTCCTGCCGTTCTCAACCTGCACAATTTAAAGTACCTGCGTAATAATCATTAACAAATCCCTGAGCTTCCACCAAGTACAGGGGGAAGGTGGCAGTTTAGAACCTGATTTGCTCAGTGTCAGCACAGGTTTTTCATCTGGAATTATCCTGTTATCTGTCTACATCTTAGCATCTAACTGCCAATTCCCCACCTAATTTAGTGTGGTGTAATTCTCCTTTGTCAGCCTAATAGACTGATGAAGATGTTATCCTTATCGAAATTAGGAATACAAGCGAGGACCCTAGGGCCTCAGTAAGTAAGCACACAGCGTTCCTGAAAGTAAAAGTTGTAAGTTCCTCTTCTAGAAAAGTTAAATTATTCGGCAAAACCACAGCTACTTTATACAGACTTTGCAAGAAGAACGTGAGGTGGTGGTTAGTTTAGTTCCTGGAGGAAAAAAAAGTAGACCACAGCTACATGCAGGCCGAACTCTAATGCATAGGGTATCTAACTAAACAATTATGAAGGATTTCCTTATACGTCCTTGAAGGCAGTGATTTTAAATGAGTGTTTTTAAATGAAAGTCAAAATTTGATTTTGTAATACCTATGTCAAGAATTTTTGACTGGAACTTGAATCCTAAAATGAAATATTTTGAGAACTAGACTACATTCCATAAGAATCAACTGCAAATTCTTTTGATTTTTCTTTTTACCTGATGTCCTTTGCCTTCCAAAGTCACATAACTATCATGTTTTATAATGAGCATTTTTTATAATGGGCATTTTATACAGACATAAAGATTTTAAGCAGATGAAGTGTTTGTAAATACTTTGCTGCCGAACTGTCACATGCCTGCTTCGTTGCAGAATGTCATATGCTTATTCTCTTTTACAGATCTAAAACAGACCCTGTCACAGGAGCTGTGAAAAATACAAAGTATCATCAACTTTAGTAAGCACTATTAACTATTTTTTCATGCACACTTGAAGTGTCTATGTGCTGTCTTATGCCACCTACAAATATAAAAATTCCCCTTTATTAATATTGTACTATGAAATAGATAACTTGGCGCTCATTTTTAAAAGTACTAGTCATATTAATGGAATCACCATCTCTGACTCCTAGCAGTCTATCGTGGAGCATTTGTGTGCCTCAATTTTGCTTGGTCTTTGGCAGTGATTTGCTGGGATTGGTCACTTACCTAGACTGGGTCATGATCATTGTAACCATCTGCTCCTGCATTTCCATGATGTTTGAATCCCCCTTCCGAAGAGTCATGCACGCACCTACTTTGCAGGTACTGTTACTAAATCTCAGCTCCCAGCTAGGTGGTGAAACACTGCCCTGCAGTTTTTCCAGCCACCATGATTAAACTGCCTTTCGCCTTTTTCAGATTGCTGAGTACGTGTTTGTGATATTCATGAGCATTGAGCTTAATCTGAAGATTATGGCAGATGGCTTATTTTTCACTCCAACTGCTGTCATCAGAGACTTTGGTGGAGTAATGGACATATTTATTTATCTTGTAAGTCTTTGGTTATTTCCTAAATGTAAAGGGTAATGGTTTTATAAAATCCTCTGGATCACTTGGTACAAGAATAAGATACATATATTGCCATAACTGCAGTCTTAAGTGGACTCCATAACAGTCCATTATCTTCAAATAAGGGACATACAAGTAAAATCTAAATGAAGTCCATTGAAATATCCATGGATAGTTGTTTAAGCATGTCAACCACAATTTTATAGATAAATATGACATGCACGAATAAAATTGAAAGCAGCAAAACTAGTTTGCATGTCACATTTCTTGTGTCTCCTATGAAACAAAATGTTTGAATCATATAAATCATGTTATTGATTAATAAGCATGCTATTATTAAAGACAAACTAAAGTTTTTGGACCTCTTTCTTAATTGCAACACACAGAACACCTGACTGTTGTAATTTCCTATTCAAGTGTTCAATTCAACTAAACAGAAACTACAAGAGTAGACTCTGAAATTTTTTTTTATTTATGAAAGGAAGGCACAAAATCAGTGACCTGGAGGGCACAAGGAGAGAGCACAGGTGGCATGTTACCAATAATTAATAAAACAATAGTGAACTTGATAAAAGGCATTTCAATCATGTTGCATCTGTGCAACTCCCAAAACACTAAATTAAAGTGTAGAAAGTGTTGGGGTACCCAGACACAGAATGGGTACTCCATTTCATTCCTGAATACATAAGACTACTTTCTTGGTTCATCATTTTGTTAACAGTGTGCATGCACACCTGTGTCTATCCCGCATCGTGCATGGAATTCCTGTTCAGTGAGAAGCTGTGACCAGTTGATTCTTAGAACATGTAGTTTGTAGATGGAAAATTGTACAATTGGCAGAGATTTTTTTTTTCTGTCTAGGTGAGCTTGATATTTCTTTGTTGGATGCCTCAAAATGTGCCTGCTGAATCGGGAGCTCAGCTCCTCATGGTTCTTCGCTGTCTGAGACCCCTGCGAATATTCAAATTGGTGCCCCAGATGAGGAAAGTTGTTCGAGAACTTTTCAGTGGCTTCAAGGAAATCTTTTTGGTATGTTAGAGCTACCCTCTGCTCCTCGTTCACCACAGTAAGCCTGGAGAGGTCAGATAGTCTTGCTGGTCAAGGTCAAATCTACAGTTGTGGGCAAACCCAGAGGGTTAAACACCCAACAGCAAAAAGTACTGTGCATGCAGCAGTTTCATCCATGGTGCTGAGGGGCTTCTCAGCTTATTAGCTTCAATGAATGTAAACTAATGAAAAGCACCCTGGGAAGCACAGTGAATGGTGACCTGACAAGGTAGCATCCACTAAGTTTTTCATTCATCTTAATTTCTATGCTGTTTCAATTTCCTAATCTAGAGATTAAGGATAAGAGTTTCAAGTCAATCTTCTTTGCAAACAGGAATAGGAATTAAAACATACAGACTCATCACTGTATTCTGTGTCCTTCTACACATGGTTTAGAATTTTGGGATCATTAGTATAAAGCAATTTGAATGATAGAAATGCAGGTAAACCTCCCTTAAACAACCTCAACACATAGTGAAGAATACTTACAGATGAGACTCAAGGGGACAGTGTTCTTTTCAGTTAGATCAACATTGCAGGGTCTTCTGAAAGAACAGGGCTTGAAATAAAACAAGGAGTAAAAGGGTCATTGCTTGGCAGTCTGTCACAGAAGGATCTTGCTTCCCAAAGGAGGGATCAAAGGTTCTTTTTGTTATGAATGAGTTGTGTGTGCATGAAAAACATGAATTGATTTACATAAGCTTATCTGTATCTCATTTTCTAGAAACACATCCAAAGTGAGACATTAGCTGTAGTCCTGGTGGAAGTGAAAGTATTCTAGGCATAGATTGTGAGGTTATTAGAGATACAGTTGCCAATATGTTTTTTAAAGATGTGCTTTAAAGTCCCCACTTTCTTTACTTAAAATCATAAAACTGTGGTCTTTCACACAGCTGGAGGTGAGGAATACAGACTCTTCCCTCACAGTTCATGTGTGTGAATCATTGGGCCCCTGACTGAGGTTACCAGGGAATGCAGTGGACCCTCCCACCAAAGATTTTTCTGTAAAACTTTACAATACCTAGGGCACATATTTAGATTGTTCAATTAGTATGGTGAGAGCTCCGTCTGGATTTTGCTCACAGCCACTTTCCTATGCTGACACCAAAGTATTCAGCCAGCAGAGGGAGCAGGAGATCATTCACAGATTTGCTTCTCAGGACGGAATTATCCCAAGTCTAGGGTGAGCCCCCAGCGCTACCGTGACGCACTACGCTCACAGGAAAGCAGAGCCACTGCCCCCAGTATCTAAGGATCCATTTTGGGAAAACCAGGCACAATGTGATTATCTGAGTATCTTTCCTTTATAAAGCAGAGGATTGCTCTCAAAAATCAGACAAATTTAAATCATATATATACATAAAAACCTTTATCACACTTTCCCTTTTTAAATTTTTTGTTAGTGCATGTTTACAATATATATTAATTGCATACATGCCACATTTGTTTTCATTTTTTAAAAATATAAATTTGTTTTTCCATTTGACATTTCACTAAACCTAATCAATAACCTGTGGTGAAAAACTTAAAAGAAATTGTCAGAAAACTATGACTTTTATGACATGCTATCTATAAAGGCGTGTTTATATCACATTGTAAATCAAAAGTAATGTTTCAATTTTCTAAAGCAGTTTAACGTTTCATCATTCTCTTTCAGGTCTCTATTCTTTTGCTGACATTAATGCTTGTTTTTGCAAGCTTTGGAGTTCAGCTTTTTGCTGGAAAACTAGCCAAGTGCAATGACCCTAATATTATCAGAAGGGTAAGATGCTCCTATCTGTCCTCTGAAATAAATACGGAAGTAGTTTGCCCTTCTTGGAAGGCATGCAGGGCCGGTGGCTGCTGTTAGTGCTTTGAGGTTTGCCTGATGGAAACGGAGGCGCTCTCCTCCCATGAACTCCCTTGTTCTTCCTGCCTGCCGCACGCTGCTTCTCAGGCAGAGGGTCACGTGGTCACAGCACAGCTTGGAGAATCCGGGGCCTCCCGTCCCTGCACCGCTTTCCTGCTGACGTCTTGGGCATAGGCACTCAAGGGTCCAGATGTCTACAGCTGAGAGCCTTGGAAACCTTCCCTTCAGTGCTTCCCTAAGTCCATCCTGTCCTTGTTGCTTTTAGGAAGAGGAGAAGGAGCAGTAATAGTACATGTTTCTGATACATAACGAATACAGTTCTTTCTGGGGACTTGTGTAAATAGAGCATCTTAATCTTTTTTACCTACACTTCCCCTCCCCCTCCATTCTCCCTCTACTTCTGTGTCCCTTTCCATTTGCAAAAGATCTGTCTCTCCATTTCCTATTATCTATCTTTTATTTTGCTCTTTAAATCATTTATATTTTCTTTTCCTCGTATAAGAGAACCCATGTGATGTTTAATTTGTGTATCTGATTTATTTCACTAAGCAATATGGTCTCAAAATACATCAGTTTTCTTCTCAGTGACTCACGTTTACCTTCTTTGTGGCTGAGTAGTATTTCATTGTGTATATTTCCTCTATCCTTGCATCTGGTGCCCATTCTGCCTCTATTGTCACTTAAGATTTGTATCAGCAAACAGCCCCCCTGCACATCTGTAGAAGAAGAAAGTTTGACTCTCACACCCACTTTGTATTCCTTGCCCCACTCTCCAGATCTCCCCAATTAGAAAGTAGGGCCTTGATGTTAGCTCTCAGCTGCCAAGGCTTCCTCTTTAGGAGCCCCAAAAGGACCCAGACTTGAACACCTTCCCCACAGAATTTCTCTTCTTCTTGCTTACTCCATGAAGAAGAAGTTCAATTCAGTAACTTAAGTTATTAAACATACCCAGTGCCTCTTGGTAAGTCAGACAGCTCTTCCTCAAATAACCAGTCAGGAGCTCAGGTGCCTTCCCTGGTGAAACTGCCCTTTGCTATGTGCTCAGGGCTGGCAGATAAGAGAAGACAGCCAGCTGTATCACAAAGACCAGTGGGCTAAGCCTGCAAGGGTAGAGATGGCTACCACCTACATTCCCCTGACAAGAGCATGGCCCCACCATGCTGGAAAAAGGGCTGGGAAATGGGGTTCAGTACTGTTCCCTGGAGAAAAGGGGGAACAGTTTGGTCTACCATCTCCACTGCCACATCTCAGGGGATTCTTCTCTGTATTATGAATGGATTTCTGACGTTGGCCAAGTACTATGATATTTAAACTAGCAACATTATCTCCTCATCCCTCTAATTAAAATAAAACCTCAGTTCACTGGAAGTGTGCCTCTCTAAAAGACCTATTAAAGCTGAGCTATGTTATCTATTTCCAGAAAATAGGGCTAATATAGATGTTATAAGATTCTTCATCTGTATTTATTGTAAAATGCAGAAAATATCTCAGTCCAGTCAAAATACATCACAAATTATATCAAGATGAGCACTGGGAAGTACCAATCTGGGGGAGAGAGTTTAGAAATTGTGTAAGCCTGAAAAGCTACAATGGTATGCAGGTCATGATGCACCAAATTAGCAAATGAAGGAACAAATAAATATCCAGTGCATTGGTCCCCAAGCTTGGGGAAGGAACGAGAGTTATTTCAGGCTCACACTCAATAGAAGCCAAAGGATAATAACAGCATTTCAGTGGGAAGCCTCTCGAGCATCCCGGATGGCTCAGTACGTAATGATGGCCTGGGAGCCTGGTGGTGTTATATTGCGCGCTCACGCCTGGCCTGAGCTGAAGATTGAGGGTTTGTCTGGGGCATGAAGAGCCCCTGGGAATTGGGGACTGGCACACAGTGAAGTGTTTACGTCTCTTCCGGAGTGCTGTGGTCCATGGATGGCCAAAGAGACAGCCGGCCTACAGAATGCCGGCATAAAGCTGGACCGATGACGCGGAGGGAGTGGAGAGGACTCTGCGTCCTCACGTCTCTTCCAATGCCCACTTGAGAGACCCAGACTAAAGCCACCATGTGAATGAAGGCGCATCAATTTTACCTCTGAGTTCTGGTCCATCTCTAAGTGGAGAAGCAAACTTGGGGGTAAGGGGAAGCTATATGCACCAACATTTGATCATTCAACTCAAATTTAAAAGACAGAGGCTTGGCTGTCAGGACGATGTTTTCCATTCTGAAGAGCATGTTGTTTTCTTACATTTGTCAGAACACTTTTCTGTTTTCTTAAAATCTGACAGCAAGCATCTCAAGGTCACTTATAGACTGAGATATGGAGTCCGGAGCTCACTCATCAAAGCCTGTAAACAAAGCCTCGAGACACCTTTTGACAAATAATTGTTAAATGTCTGAGGCACCATACCATAGGTGCAATGAAGTATGGGGAAACCAATTACATCGCTGAGGTGATGGTACGGTACGGCACTTTCTGTCCAATCAGAACACGCGTTGCAGGTTCCAGCAGCTGTAATGCAACGTTAGCCAAGCAACAGATGTAATGTACTGCCTCCTTTCAGCATGGGGACATTATGCCCCAGTGGGGTACTGTGCTGTGATGGCGACAGGGAAGAGAGAAAGCTTAAGATGAGCAGGAATTCCCTCCTTAAGCCAAGAAAGTAGAACAGTGAATGAGAGACACCAGGGGGCAAAAAGGAGTCAGTGCAGGTGCAGGAAGTAAAATAGGGGAAGAATACAGACCCAGAATCAGAGCTTGCGCATTAGAGCCCTACTTCAGGCTGGTCCCCCCCGCTCTCTGAACCCATGTCCTGAGCCATAGCACTTTTTTCACAGTGATATTAATAATTACATTAGCTGATTTATGTAAAGAATCTATCCCCGTGTCCAATAGCCAGTGTTACACGCTCTCCCCCTCCCACATTGACAAGTACTGGAAAACAAGGCCAGAAAGGTAAGCTAGGGAAAGGTCCTCGAGATCCCAAATGCCAGACGGCGGGGCCTGGAGTTTTTGACGAGCCAGGAGAAGGCATTAAAGATTTATAAGAAAAGGACTCAGATACTTCCAAATGCTCACAAAGTACGAAGTAGTATTTTGTCACCGATATTTAACTAATGAAAATAGTTGTAAAACTATCAAATAACTTGTCACATGTGAGTCACCTATCTTGTAGCGCAAACCTTAGGATTCTACCCAGGACGGCTGGCCTCGTATGCTATGCTTTTATAGCTCAGATACCAGGCTGCCTCAGACAAATGAAGGTGGGAACAGATGGGATCAGAAAAATGAGTTGCAATGGACAGAAAGGCCAGGTATATGATGGTGCCTCTGTATGATACCCACCCACGGTAGAACCCTTTAAAATAATGTCACTCAGTGAGTAGGTGTGACTGAGTATATTTTTAACTTTAAAAAGTATTTGAAGATTTTTAAAATCTAGGAAAAACAGAAAGTTATATATCAAACAATAAATTGCCTTTGTCTCTGGGTAGCTATAGGTAAATTTTCCTTCCTGTAGATTGCCAAGCTTTATAAACTGAAGATTAATTATTTGTGTCAAAAGGGTTTTGTCTTAGAGAATTCTATTGGTAAGTCAGGAACAGACAGTATTGTCATTAATTAAATTAGAATGAAGCCATGGGCCAGGAAGTATAAGGAAAGGATAGGCAGTTATTGTTGCTAATAGCTGATGGCTTACAGTCCATGGACAGAGCTGAGGAAGCCAAAGCAAGCATGGTGGCATGGAACTATAATCCCACCACTCTGGGAGGCTGAGACAGGAGGATCTCAAACTTAGCCTGGGAGATTTAGTGGTTTAGTAAGAACCTGACTCTGTGCAAAGAAAAAAGGAAAAAAAGAACAAAGAAAGAGAGGGACAGAGAGAGAATGGGAGAGAGAAGAAAGATAAAGAGAGAAAAGAAAAAAAAGATAAGAGATGTACATAGGGAGAACAAGAGAAAGAAACAAAGGAAAGAAAGAAAAAGAAAGAAAGAAAGAAAGAAAGAAAGAAAGAAAGAAAGAAAGAAAGAAAGAAGAGATGGAAGAAACAGAAATGAAGATACCAAAAATACAAGTGTTAAGATCTAAGATGATTTTGAACAAGTTGAGTTCTTGATAAAATATTCAAGAATCAAGAATTTTATCTTACATACTTGTAACTCAGAAAAAATACAATTTGGTTTCAAAGTACAGTCAGCCATACCAAGGAAACAGAAGTAGCCAAAGGAAGAAGCAACAGAAAACCAGTCAAAATGTCTATGGATGTTTTATTTTTTTTAAAATATTTTCAAAGCAGCTTTATTGAAAGGTAACTCAAGTACTATAAAATGCACCCCCCTTCCAGGTGCACAACAATTGCAGTGGCCACGTATAGAACTTTTGTGTCACTGTAGAAGGAGCTTTGTATAACTGACACCCCTACAGTTTTTATCCCCGTGTTGACCCCCAGTCCTAAATGACTACTGATCTTTATTTTTTTCTTTTGTACCCTTGTTCTGGACTCTCATACCAATGGAATCATATACTTTATGGTCTTCTATGACTTTCTTTTCTCACTTGCATACTGTTCCCTAGTGTCATCTATGTGGAGCGTGTATCAAACTCCATCCCTATCTACGCCTAAGCACCATTCCACTTTAGGACTGAAACACATTTTATTTGTCCAGTGATTGACACGTGAGTTGTTCTTACCTGCTAGCTATTACGAATATTACTGATATAAACATTCGGGTACCAGTTTCTTTATGGTCCTACACTTTCATTACTCTTAGACAGAGTGATACCTAGGAGTGGAATCACTGGGTCATAGGCTACAATAGTCCATATTCCATTGCTATAACAAAATACTGATTTAAAAAGAAGTTTATCAGCTCAAAGTTTTGCTATAAAATTGGCAGCCCTATCTCTTCTACCTCTGGGTAGGGCCTCTTGTTACATCACATGATGGCAAGTGACATGGTAGAACCCATGCAAGAAGGAAGAAGAAATCACATGGTCAAGCAGGAAGTGAGAAAGTCCAGCGTGGGGCAGTTTTGCTATCTATAAACACCCCTTTTCATGGGATCTGACTCTGAGAGACCAGCGTAGGTCATGTTAAGCAGCAGAAGCCCCAGTGTCCTGACCACCCTCCATGAGGCCCCACCTCTAACAGCACCACACAGAGACAGAGATCTCAGCACCTGATCTATTCAAACCACAACCAAACCACAGCACGTGGCAACTCTGTGCTTAGTCATTTGATAAACTGTACTGTTTTCCAAAGGGCCTCCACCAATCTACGTGCCCCAAAGCGAATGAGGCATCCAAGTGTGAGGGTGCCCATCTCCCCAAATCCTTACCAGCATGTGTTGTGTTTTAGTGTGTGTGGAGCCTTATTTCTTGTTGGTTTTGATTTGCATTCCCCTAATGCTCCAGAGCAGCCTTTCATGCACTTGTTGGCCCCTTGGCATCTTCCTTGGAGCCACTTCTGTTCAGATATGGGGCCACATGCTCCTGCTTCCAACACCAATGGCACACTGCCTAAGTCTTCATTACTGCGTGCTGGGTTGCTGGGCACATTACTGTCGCTAGGTTAAAGCCTTCATTTTCTCTTGTGTAAGAAATGTTTCTTTTGTATCTATTATCTTTTCTCAGTTCACTGTCTGACCAATTTCCCTGAACTCTTTTGTTTTTCCTCCTTTAGGAAGATTGTAATGGCATATTCAGAATTAATGTAAGTGTTTCCAAGAACTTAAATTTAAAATTAAAACCTGGAGAGAAGAAACCTGGATTTTGGGTTCCCCGGGTTTGGTAAGCATACCAGAAAAATACCCTGAAAGATGCTATTTGTTAGGATATTAATCAGTATTATATGGCATGAGACTAGAGTAATTCTGCTGGTGATGTTAAGTGATTCTGAATAATGGGACAAAGCACTAGATTACTACAAATACAAAAATAAGGTCTCTAAAAGTGCGAGTGATACACTGCATTCCATGTTGCTCCGTGAAATTAGTGACATACTGCCACAGTATTTCTCCAATACTTCAAAAATACATACCGGGATTCTAATGGCTTTAAAAATTAATGAGGTTTAAAAACAAGATCTTCTAGGACATGAAAGCTAAACTCACTGCGTTCATATGTTTAAAGAAGAAGCAGCAGTCCTTACAACAGTTGTACAGAGCCTTAAATCATAAAGCTATTTCTATTAAAAAAGAAAGAAAAAACCTCACTTACATTGGCAAATTTCTGTGACTGAAACACTGGAGAGGGATGATCAGTAACACAGTTGATTATATCTCATTCTGTCTCTAAAATGCATTTTTCTTGAAAACGTTTTCAAAGCATTTGTGTCAAAGCTAGAAATACCTAGTTCCTCCTCTCTCATCTACTTTAGTAAGGACTATGAATGGAATCTCTCTGCTTCCTTGATGAACTCCTGTTAACTTCATTTCCTTTTAATTACCTTTGTAATGTTTTTTGCCTTTTTTGGAATAACAATTGAGCCGCAGAATCTCTGCCTTTTTCCGCCACGGACAGACATTCTCCCCCAAATGTCAGGAACATTTCACTCAGCTGTAGCCTCTTATTCATCCTCACTGTACTTTGGCATTTCTTACTATGAAATTCATTTTTATAAACAATTCAAGATAATTTGTGTTGGTTTTGCCTAAGGATCCAAGAACTGTGACAAAAGATTAATGCGGGGCTTGAGCATAGATAAAGAAGAATGTGACCCACAGAGAGACACTCATTCCAGAGTGCACTGGAAAAGCTTTCCAATTTACATTAAAATAAAAAATTAAAGAAGCATAAAAAGTTTACTTTATGCTTTTATGAGATGAAAATTAATTATGCAATATATAAAAAGCTTATTTATATCAGAGCATCAAATGGGACTTATTTTTCCACTGCCTTAAGATTTGGGCTAAAACCTCAAAGTTGATTCCCATAGGAAATGAAGTGTCTTTATATCCTAAAAAGAGCAGCTACACCAAGCCAGGGGAGCTTACTGAGATGTCACTCAGCCAGCTCTGGCAGTCTATGTTCGAAGATAACATCCTGCAATTAAATGAAGTCCCAAGCAGAGGGTCCTGTGGCATTTCCCCTCCCTTCACTGTGGAGAAAGGTCAGGGTGGCCTTGCTCAGTGAGGTCTTGAAAGAGAACAACTTAAGGTCAGAGCCTGGAGAGTATATTAGCCAGCTTTCCCTTTGCTGGACACAATACCCAACACCCACACTGATAGGAAGAGAGGGAAAATTGACTCTGACTTATAGTTGTGGGGATTCAGTACATGGTTGACTGACTCCCACTCAGAAGCACTGTGGGGGGAGGGTATGGAGGTAGGAAGCTGCACACAGGTATAAACCAGAATACAGAGTGAAGGGAAAAGCCAGGAAGGGAGACACACCCTCCAAAAGCACCGGCCAGTGACACGCCTCTTCCCGCCTGACCCCACAGCCTAGCAGCGAGGTATGAACTCATCAAGGAATCCATCCACTGATGAGTCCCATGCCCCCACGCTCCAATCACACTTCAACAGTCCCACCTCTGAATGCATGAGACTTTGGGGAGACATTTTAGATCAAAACCATAAAAATGAGGCTAAGGGAGGCTCTTGTGGGCAAACTGCCCTTCACCGCCTGACAGAGCCAAGTTATCTGGTCACAGAGGCCCAAGTATTCGTTATCTGTAGTCACCTGCTCTGAGCCATTTTGAATGGAAACGTGCTGCAAAGAACTGTGTGCTGGGGAGAAGCTCCTGCATCCCAGAGGCCAGAGTTTCCCAGAGCGAGAGGCGGGTTCACCAAGAGACTCTCACAGGGGCAGTCTTGTTCTATAAGGCAACATCTTAAGAGAAACTTTGAGGTACAGTAAGGCCAACAGCTCAGGCAACGGGAATGGTTCTCTATTGCTCACAGTTCCGGGAGGACAGGGCGTGCCATCCCGTGGGGAGATCACACAGGAGCACACAGAGGGAAGGGAGGACTGCAGGAAAACCATATTTTGTGGTTTTCCTGGGAAGGAACAGGAAGGCAAGGTGATCCAACAGGGTTCCGTAATGGGCTCTGGGACATAGTGGGTATCCCGAGTAGTCAGGCACTCGGCCCTGGGGGATTAGAACAGGTGCGCAGAGGCCACAGCAGCTGTGCAAACTACAGCACGTGTGCCGCACCCAGTGGCTGGTCACTGAAAGCTCTCAAAGGTTTCCTGTCACTGGCCTAGATGTGAAAATGCAATAAAGGAAGTGGGTGGAGGGTGGACTCTAGGTTGCTTTGTATTTGAAAACCATACCCTACGAGGTGGACTTTGATGTTGTGACTGATAAGTGACCAGAAAGCTTTGGGACATCCCAAGATATCAAGAGAACTAGAACTTACTGGAAGGCAGTGTTTACAGAAAGCAAACCTGTCCCGTAAAATCAGTCACGTGTTCTTAAAACTTAAGTTTAGTTGCAGTGTTTTATGTAAGTTATCACCTGGGCTTTCAAGTTCGATGACATTTTAAAAGCATAAACAAGTAGAGAGGCAACCCTTGGATATCACCATAATTGCTTTTGTGCATTTGTCCATGATATTGTGTCTTGAGTTGGTTGTGGTGAAATAAAAAGTCTCAGTCTAATAAATGTCAAGTGTAACTGCAACAATTCTTAGGTTTTTCTTCTGCAGTACTCTAATCATGACTTAGAAGCTGAAGTTTCTATAATTTTATGTTGGCTAAATTATAGTTTAAGAAAATAATTTATGTCTTGGAATATACAGAGGAAAGCTTTGATGGATAAATGTTGGATGTAAATTTGTACTAACTGAGAATAGTCTAGGTACTGTATTCTGTCTTCAAATGAATATATTCATTTCCTTCTAATTCACTCAGATTTGATGAAATAAAAATCACCTCACTAAAAGCATTAAACACATCATATATTCTATATTGTGTGTTTTGCACAAAGATCTGGGTTACAGAAAAATGTCATAAATTAGAGAAAAAGCAAGGTATTCAGTTTTATAATAAGTGTATTTATTGAGTGCTTACAATCCACCAGGTACTATGCTTATCATGGATTCAACTACAAATAAAGTATAGCCCTTGTCCCTTACATGATTGAGATCTAGCAAAGAAAGAAAAGGAAATTACAAATAATTTCATATAATATTCTAAGAGTTTTGGTGCTGTGTCAGTAAACCCCTCAGTTCACCTCTCACTTCCCTGACGTTCATCTCCAGGTAATTTTAAGTTACACTGTAATACATTCGAGGCAAAGGGAGATCCAGTTTTGTGGAGTCTAAGGTCCAAATAATTTCGGGCACCGGGATATGAGATGGAAACCGTGCATGGGAGGGATTCCAGGGCAGGTTCCTGAGTTTTCTGGACAAGGCACTGCTTGTTTCCTACGTGATGAGTGCTGCACACAGGAGAAGCACCCAAAGCACAGGCAGTAGGACCAGGCAGAAGAACGAGAGAGGACATATTGGCAAACTGCTGAAGAGCAGCCAGTGGGAATTAAACAAGCCAAAGGAGGAAGGGTGCTGGCAGGTGGGTAGGAAGGGCCAGCAGAGCTAAAGGACTGCAAGCAGAAGAAGCTGTATGGCCAGCTCGCAAGATGAAAGGAATGTTAGTGCATTTGAGGAGACACAGAAACCTGATTCCTCTGTACATGGTGGCCTGGCATCCCAACCCTAGGCAAGCCGAGGCAAGGGAGTGGCAAACCTCGAGCCCAGCCTGGCTGACTTCGTGAGACCCTGTTTCAAAATTTTAAAAAATTTAAGACAAGGGGACTGGAGATGTAGATCAGTGTAGAGGTTCAACTCCCAGTACTATAAAATTTTTTTCAAGTTTCTGATTTCTGTAGGCTGAATAACTGAAACATGTAAGACACAGGAGTCCCTTCTGGACAATGTTGTCCTGTGTGTTTCCAGTCTGAGGGCAAAAGCGAGGTCACATCTTGCATGGACCCCCAGCTTCCCCAGAGGAAAGACTTGTTTTATTGCGATCGTGGGAGTCCTGGAGCACAGGGAGGTGATGAAAGATTGATGAAATCATAAGGTCAAACCGATGCCTTAGGTTCCTGAATGAGAGAGAAAAGATTATAATCTCCTAAAAATTAACCAGAAAAGGTGATATTTAAGCAGCCTTCCATTTTGAGGAAGAAAAGCATATGAACTAACAGCAACAGATTGTGCTGGGAATTTGTTGAAGTCTTCTGTAGTAACAGATAAAATTTCAAATTTCCCAATTCCACTAACATGAACAAAATATAAATAAATGGACTTAGATGATTAAAACTGCAATAAGTCTTACTTTTTAAAATGTGATATAGTTTTCCAACAATTTAAATTTATGATACTGAATTTTTTTTCTCAGCTTAGTTTGAGTATATTTTAAATATATGCTAACTTCTAAAGGATGTAGCGTATGAAAGGAGCTTAAATTGCTGCAAATTTAGCTGAAAAAGCACTTTTACATAAAGAAAAAGGAGGAGTAAGAAAGTTTAGCATCAGATCTCACAACCAACTCATGTGTCTTAAAAGGTCCTTATTCATGAAAACTGCAACATTTAAAGAACACTTACAATTTATGTCTATTACATAAGGTATGAAATTTAACTGAAAACCCTCCCAAAGAAAATTTCTATTTGAAAAATCCAAGAGAATATACTTGTACCATCATACCAAAAAGAAAATATGAATCAGAATTCTAAAACAGAAATTTCCAATTCTACTTTTTTTTTTTCCTGAAACATCTTACTATGTAGTTAGTGCGGGCTGGCCTTGAACTCACAAGCAATCCTCCTGCCTCCGCCTCAGCTGGAATGACAGGAGCACCCCACTCTCCCAGTTCTATTCTTTTTCAAGGAGACCCTTTCCACTATATAGAAAATGTCTCTGCCAGTCAGCCTAAAACCCTTCAGAGTCAATTTCAGTTTTATGTTTTCTAATTAGATTCCCCATCTATTTAGCATTTAAAAAAACTTATAAAGGTACATCTCATGATCCACTCCTTAATTTAAAAAATTTACAATAAGGTAGAGAAATACTGAACCAGGAAACCCCAAGAGAATTTCCTTTCCTGAGGATAAATTTTGATAAGTGAACTAGTAAAAAAAAAGAGAGACAATTAAAGTATAATGTGGACAGATGTCAACAGTCAAGAGCCGAAAGAGCAGTGATAGTCCCTCCTGTTAGCATGTGGTTGTCTAAATCCTTTAATTGATTAAAAGAATCTCAAATAAGGAAGAAACCCTGAATTCTAACAACAATGATGAACAAGTTAGCTAAGACCCTAAACTGGTAAAGAAGATTCAGCACAGCAGAAAGGATCACTAATTGGGAAGAAAAAAGCATAAATGTGTGAAAAAAGCAAGAAATGTGACATCTCTTTCCCCAAGGAACATAAACAAGAGTGGGCCCCTGTGTCATCGCAATGAGAAGTCATCTATGAGCTGGGCAGCAAACTGTACGTTGGGCATCACGAGAGGTTTTATTGAGGATGATGAATGTTAAGGAAGGAAAATGCTCCACCCAGGAGAGAGTAATTCGGAAATGATACATACCGAGCGCCCTCTAGCTTCTCGGTGTGTCACTGCTTTACTACACAATGTGCTCACGATGACTCAGAGTGAAATAAATTGCCTAAATTACTCTTTTGTACACTTTCTACCCTACCTTCAGGCAACTGCAATCTATGTCTTAAGGTTCAGATCACAAACTTATTTTGCAACTCATATGCAGGATCCAACGCCCCTTTTGAGCAAATCTCTACAATGACTTTTCTAGTCCTCAATGTCATAGGGACCAGGCAGAAAGGTTACAGAGCCACTGGGGCTGGACTTAGAATTGCTAAGCCCTTTGTTTGGAATTGAAAATGTCCACCATTAATGAATGAACACAACAACATGCTCTGGTTTCTCTTCAGATCATAGAAATCATTCACCTTCTAATAACCAGCAGTAAATTCTGATGCTCTGATGCACTGTGAGGACTCAGCAAACACCATGTGGCCCAGCCTCCCAAAGCTGGAGGTGTCTTGGGCCCATGGCAGGGAAAAGCCGCAGGTCCTGAGCACAGGGTGCCTTGAGTTGCAGTTTCATTGAATGTCCTGCTTTCTGAATTGCAGGGCAAATCCTCGGAATTTTAATTTTGACAATGTGGGAAACGCTATGCTGGCGTTGTTTGAAGTCCTCTCCTTGAAAGGCTGGGTGGAAGTGAGGGACGTTATTATTCATCGCGTGGGGCCAGTAAGTAAGCAGGCGCATGAAATCTTTTGAGCATTTCCAGAACAGTTTGCATTTGCTTCGATGAATAACGATGCTTTTCATTTACGCAGATCCATGGGATCTATATTCACGTGTTTGTATTCCTGGGTTGCATGATTGGACTGACCCTCTTTGTTGGAGTAGTTATTGCTAATTTCAATGAAAACAAGGTAAGAATTCTTGGTTTAAATAGCATAGGCTTTTATTCTTTTGTGGCCCCTCGCCTGGAGCAATTTTTTTTTCCCAAACACGGCATGAAGTCACATTAACGTGCCTGGTGTAAATAATCCACATAACTACCTTACAAGCTACCTCATTGCTGCCTTTCAGGCACATTATTTCAGGTACAATTCTCTGGCTACATTTACACTTTCGGTAATGGTGTTATTAATTCACCAACAGCTGAGAAGCCGCATCTGCTATTGTTCAGATTGAAAGGATGTTCAGCAAGTTATTAAAACACAATAGCTGAAAGTGATGCGCTGATTGTAGGTAATATTACTTTCACAAAATGTAAATTGCATGCTTCTTTGTAACTCAGTAGGTAAACTCGGAATTCAGATGGGGTAAGGAGGTGCCTTGCAAAATTTTAAATCCCAATTCATGGAATAAAAAAGAAAATTTTTCTAATTTCATATAAACTTTACCTGCTTCACAAACTCCGGAAGCCTGCTGGGTCTGTAACAGCTCTAAGGAGCCATGTAAGACTCAAAAACCAGAGAGAGCAGCAGCGCATCTTCTCACCAAAGGGGAGTTTTGAAAGAAACATCCTCCTGGACCTCCTGGAAGTGCCCCCCCTTCTGGGTAGAGTTGATAGCTATGGCATAGGAGCAGTCAGCATTTGGAGTCATGATAACTGAAATACCTACTTTTTTGAGCGCTTAGTACGCACTAAAATTTGACACACACTGTTATCAATGCTCAAAAGTTTAAAATGCACAGTAGAAGACAAGCAATCCCTTGTTCAGGGCTCGTAGGCGTAAAATATCAGGGTCAGAATCAGAATCAGGGTCTATTAGTGTAAGGTCTGTGTCTCTTGGAACACAAAAGTGTAAGGACTTCTATTGGGGAGCTAGATTCGCCTGCCAGGCTCCGCGCTGTTCGATGTTACGGCTGGCACTCGTTCCCATGTGTTCACATCAGAGCACTTTGGCTGGTAGCCGCACGTGGCACTGAATCATTCACTGTTCCCAGGCTCGATGTGTGTGGTACCAGTTACTCAGTCAATTGCCATCTTTGATGTGTGCCTAATGAGTACGTCACTTCATCCAGGCTTTCAGAGGACGCAATTTAAAAATCCCCCCTTGGGGCCCCAACATTCCTCCCACAGAAACATGGAATCTTAGAACAGTAGTGATTGTGTGGCCAGGCCCCTCTATTTTACTCCCTGACATGTTCATAAATGAGTTTCTCTAAGCCCTACAGTGTGTTCAGTTTCATAGCAAGCAGAAAGAGGAAGATGGGTCTTTTCAGGTATCTTTGAACCATGTGGTGGCACAGGCACTGGAAGCTCCAGTACCTGAGAAGAAGTTAATCAGTCCAGGAACAGAGTGCAGGGACCATGAGTGGACTCCTGATTGCAAGAGAATCAGGGTCTGTGGTCATTCATGTGAATAGCACAACATGAAATGGTAATAGCTGGGGGCGGGGGGACAATCTTCAAAGTAGAGAAATGGCTATGAAAGCTGGATTACTAAGGGAAACCATTGTTATTCCTGTTCAGAAAGGGATGCCAAGGGCCACTTGTTGGGGAGGGCTGTGTGTCTACCAAATGGGCACTGGAAGATAGGTGGAAATTAGAAATCATTTGCCAGACATTACAAACCAGGTTAGTCAATTAGAGATATGGATGTCTAAATTATATGAATCTTTTAGAAAAAATAATTTATTTTTGCAAGTTTTTGAGCAGGTAACACATGAGCAGCTATACAGCACATTAATTCCTTCATTATTCAGTCATCAACAGACTTATTTGAGCTCATACTTGGTGCTGCTGGCACTGAGGACCTGACAAGTTAAACAGGAACGGTAACGATTGCTGCCCTCCGGGAACGCACATCATAATGGTCATGGCCCAAGGGGTTAGAAGTAGATTTCCAAATAGAGAGGCAATAAGAAAGGCCTAGGAAAGAAGGTAAGCTTTGGAGGTGAGGTTTTCCAAATTCAGAACTCTGCAAAAATAAGTCTTCCATAGAGAATGGAAGTCTCTTTAGAAAGCTCCACATTTATTCCAGTAATATAGGTTCTTCTTCCCTGATTTCCTTACCATGAGATGATATGTTTAATACACTAAATTTAATGATAGTACACTTTTATACATTAATTATCAGATGACACATCCATGTTCACTTTTCTATGGTTTTTACACTTTTCCTTGTTTTGTATAACAAAGGAATAACATGGTTTAGATGTCTAGAGAGTAAATATTTGTTTGCAATGAGAAAGTGGTTTTACAATACTAATCTAAAGAAAAAACACTTAATGCAAACACTACTATTAAGAATAAATTATGTAATTAAATAATGACAAAAGAAGCTCATCACCAGAAAATAGAGAACTTTGCATCTTAAACTGTACACAGCAGAAGTTGAGCAATTTGTGAACAAAACTAGCAAATCCAAAATCATAATGAAGTATGTTAGCGCGGTGTGCTAAGAAACTCATAAACCAGACAGAAATAAAGAAAATATGAGATTTGATACAATAGAAAATTTCATCTGATGGAAATAAAAATGATTCTGACAATTTGAGAATATGCATTAAGTGCAAAGTATACTAGAGGCCATAAAACAGAAGTTAACTGAGGAGTGCTACTATGATAAAAAGAAAATGACTGTATACATCCCTCATTAATTCAGAAATGTTTCCACAGCACCCTAAATAATTTACGAATTAAAGAAATCAAAACAGAACACTCCAGAGCATTTAGAAAAACATCATCTTAAATATCAAATGTATAACATCTCATAAGACTTAAATAAACCAGTAATTAGAGACACATATCCCTGTAAGTGTACACATTTCAGAAAAATCAAAGGCTATTAATAGGTTACATATTCAAATCAACAAATTATAAGAAGAACAAGGAAGTTACAGAGACCAGGGCAAAAAGTAACAAGACGATGAAGGAACTGTTAAAGGTTTTATAAGGAGAAAGAAACTTATTTCTTAAAATTAACTCAAAAGCCTCCAGTAAGACTGAGCAAAAACAAAGATGTAGAAGAGGAAAATAAATAAGCCGTAATAATTAAAATAGTGTTGGTAGAGTGATAGGAACTTAGAGTTACAGAAGAGAGCGGAAAACCCCAAGGGCCACATCTGGGGATCACAGGAAGCAGAGCCAGCTGGTGCAGAGCTCAGCTCAGTGCTCAGAGATGCTGGAGGCACCAGATATCCAGACAGAAATGGCCACACCGAGCTCTCCATGGCATCCTCAAAAATCATTTCAGGTGAAGACTGCTGTGAAAAGAAAAACTCCAGCCATGTAAGCATTATTTTTTTGTATCCCAGAGTGACTATGTGTTTGTTGATGTCAGACAAAGTAAGAACTATAAAGAAAAGGATGATAGACCATGTTAAGATTTAAAATTTCTGAAGGACCAGAGGAACCCAAAAATAAAAATATAAGCTAAGATAAAGAGAAAGTATTTTATTTACAGCCCACATAACTGCAAAAAGATACACAATATATAAAGAATATATATGGGTTACATAGGATCCACAATGTATAACTGCTACAAAATATTAAAAATAGCAAAATACAAAAATGAGTAGAAAATATGCATGGGCAATTCACATATAGGGGAATCACCATTTATACCATAAAAATGCTTCATCTCATTAGTATAAATACTAAATTAGATAGTTGCACTCATCAAAATGGCCACATTAAAAAGTCTAAAACTTCATGTATTGGCATGAATATAGGGAATGGTAGGACTTTTTGGTCATTGCTCTTCGGACAGCAACTTAGCAACTTCTGATAAATGTAAAGAAGAAATCTAAGTGTATGGACAACATACTGTCCAATGAAGGTACAAACTGTATAATAAGCACATATTAGATACCAACTATATCCTTTTAGGGACTCAAAACTAATATACTCTTGCATTCTTATGCAAACATACAAGCACAAGATTCTTAAAATCAAAGAGGATGTACCTGGGAACATCAGTAGTTACTTTGAAGGAAAGGGAAAGTGTAGGTGAAGTGGGTTTTTTTCCCTGAGATTCTTAAATTATACTTCTGCCTTTATAATAGAATAGAATAGAATAGAATCCAATTCAATACATACCGTATAATTTATGTGCATTTTAATCAAGTATTCAATTACATAACACAAAATATTGATTCCTGCTAAATATCTGCTTTAGCAAGTTATCACAGCACTAACTTCTAAAGGGGCAAGTTCCCTGGCTTTGTGCCTCTTAAAAATTGTTTAACAATTGCACAAATTAGAATGTTTAAACAATAAATGGAAGAAATAGCCGTAACTAGAAACAGCACTATTGTCAAGCTGTGGTTTTGCTCTGAAACATGAAATTCGCCAGCATTAGTATCCCTTTTTGAAAATGGATTTGTGTAAAAAGCCTTCTTGAAATTTTCTCAAGCCTGGCTGTTAAATATCTTCAAAGATAAAAACTGAGGGCTGCTGAATACTCTGAAACATGTGGCCATCAATTTGGAAACCCCTCTCATGACCGATTGAGAATTCTGAGCATGCTTCACTTGCCACCACCGTGTTTGAAGAATATCTTTATGCCAAGCACTGTGTCAGCCCTGTTTGCAAAGCCATTCCAAGCACAATGTTCTTTTCCTTTTCCTTTTCCTTTGGCTGCTTTCTTTGTTTGTCAAGGGGACAGCTTTGCTGACCGTAGATCAGAGAAGATGGGAAGATCTCAAGAGCAGACTGAAGATTGCACAGCCCCTCCATCTCCCACCTCGTCCTGGTATCAAAGATGCTCTGATTTTATTCATGCTGGGCACTGGTGTTCATGATTCCCCAGGAGTCTCAGATTTAAATTAAAATAATAATTGTGAGGCCCCTGGGAGGTTTGTGCATAAGTTAATTCAGACACAGGCTCCCAACTCCAGACCTTTCCATAAGGCTATTAAAATCAGCCAGCTAAAGACCGTGCTTCAGTGCCTTCAGAATAAACCTTAATGAAAAGACCAGATTTTTAAATAAAATATATTTGTGCTTGCCTTTTAAAAATTGGAGTGAAATGTATTAAACTGACAGCAGTGGAATGATACACTTCTTCCAACACTGATGGTGCCCTGCACCTTTGCTTTAAACCTCCAGAGCCATTCCTGCAAGATTCTTCACAGCAGATTGAACCTGTGGTGGGGAGGGGGAGGTGAGGGCTGGAGAAGAGCATTAAAGAAAATGAAACACAAGAAAGTGAGCGTGAGCCATGTCTAAAATGCCCTTTCTAAACCTTTCTTTTCCAGATAATGACGGTTTTAGAGCTAAAATGTATGACATAACGCAGCACCCATTTTTTAAGAGGACCATTGCATTACTTGTTCTGGCCCAATCCGTGTTGCTCTCTGTTAAGGTACTTTGGCTGCTTTCATTCTGAACTCTGTGAATAGACTTTAAAAACAAAATGATTAGTACATGTTTGCAGGACATGATATTTACATTCATTTCAGGGGGCCAGGACATGTACTTAACATGGCTTAGTTCTTTTTACTTCCCTTTCTCTCCTCTCTCTTTCCCTTCCCTGTGTCTCTGGACCCCCTTCCCATTTTCCAAAGAGCTAACCTCAGTACATTAAGCCACCTAATCTTTGACAAAAGAGTCAAAAACATACACTGGGGGAAAAAAAAAACATCTTTCTAGCAAATGGTGCTTGGAAAACTGAGTAAACACATGCAGAAGAATCTAGACCCATACCTCCCACCATGTACTACAATAAAATCAGAATAGGTAGAAGACATAAACATGAAAATACAAATACTTAATCTGCCAGAAAATAAAACAGGGCTGTATTTGTGGTTTCTGTTACATCCAAGAACACTGCAAACTGCCTTAGCCATTGCAGTCCATATCCCTTAGTACAAAAATTAAAATTCAAGCATGTGTTAAAATGGGAGGTCTGTGTGTGTGGGGAATGTGACACCAACTGCGTGTTCTTCCTGTTCCAGTGGGACGTGGAGGACCCAGTGACTGTCCCTCTGGCGACCATGTCGGTTGTTTTCACCTTCATCTTTGTTCTAGAGGTACAGTAATGAGTTGGCTGGCCCTGGGGGGAGCCAGGCACAATTTTAAAGTGAATGTGTCCCCCTTTTAATGGCACTTCTTTCAGCTCTGGGTTCCAAGGTCTTTGAAGCTTTGGGGGTGAGGCAGGGGGCAGGTGGGCATGCTAAAAAGGTTATTTCCTTTTCTAGGCCTTTATGCTTGACTCAAATAAAGACTTTGAGTTGTAGTCCCAATGTTTCTAGTCGCAGAAGTGATGCCTAACGTGTGAATACTGGCCTGTCTGGTTATGTGAGTGCAGCTATTTAAGGCAAACCGCACAAGCCACTGTGTTTCGGGGATTCAAATTACAATGTGATAGCAAAGTGAAGAGTTGGCCCAGGCAACATTATTTTAATGTGTGATCTGTATAATATCGCTTTCCAGTGTATTGGTCTTTGAAATACAAGCAGATTGTTATTTCACCCTATAGCGGCTGATGGTTTAGAAAATCTTTGGTCTTTTACTTAAGAGAGAAAAACATCCTGCTCTCAGAGCTAGTAATAAAAAACAAGAGGAAAATGTGGCAAATATAGGCTGTAGCGTACTTAGCTTTAAAAAGAAAACCGTTTGTCTTGGCAATGAAGTCTTTCCATTTACTACATCCCGTAAAAGCATAGCGTGTCTTAAGTTAATAGATTTAAACCTGTGCTGAACACCCTCCAATCTCTTCCTTGCTTTTCTCCAGGTTACCATGAAGATCATAGCAATGTCACCCGCTGGCTTCTGGCAAAGCAGAAGAAATCGATATGATCTCCTGGTGACATCCCTGGGTGTCGTGTGGGTGGTGCTTCACTTCGCTCTCTTGGTAAGCACACAGTGGAACTTTGTTTCAGTTGGTTATCCTGATTCCTGAGCTGAAACATAGTACCCTTCCTACCCCCGATGATCAGTATTTCACCCTGTGATTCATGGTTGCTTCCTCAGCCTCCAAGACATTTAACTTCCATTTCTCTGAAGCACACCATTCCCATCTCCAGATCTATATTCTATTTTTCCTAAACTGCCTTCATATTCTATTTTCAGTCTGAAGTTCAATTCCAAATCTACAACAGTGTGTCCACTTGACTACTATCTAGAGTGGTGCCATCCAGGGAAAACAAGATATGGCTCCATTTAAATTTTTAGGAGAAATTTAAAAGGAAATAAACAACAATACATTCATAATATATTTTCTAAGCTGCCCATATAGAAAATACCATTATTTGACACGTAAACTATATAAAATTATTAATTATTTTTTTCCTTTGGTATGAAATCTCTGTGGAATTTATTTTTACAGCAAAGCCTTATTTAAATTGGCAACCTTCCAAGTGTTCAGAAAGCGTGTGTGGCTGGTGGATTATGTGTTGGGTATTGCAGCACTTGGAGATCTGGGTCCTAGTCTCAGACTCACCGTTGTCCAGCTGTGATCAATTTATTTGTCTTTACACTATGGTAACTACTAGTAAGTCAGGTTATAAGGTGGTGAAGTACTAGGTTATTGAAACAGTCATGCTGTGACCTCTATTGTTATATTGTTATGTCCTGTTTTATCTCAATCTCCCCCTTATTGTTTCAAAAAAAAATTATTTAGTCATTTCTTATGTTTGTCTTAATTAAAGAAAAAATTCAAAAAAATTAGGATATATAAATAGTAACTCTTTTCGATTTCCTATTAACTTGTTTTGAAGTCCTGTAGTACTCCCACGATCTTGTTTTGACTGATTAGACTCTGTTCCATTCTATATGATAGTATCAAGTTTGAAGACATAGGCAACTACTTTGAAGACAATAAGATTCACTAAGATACCCATTCTGGTTTGACTATTGTCTTCTTTGGAAGTCCTGTAATGTTTACAATGCCTAAGTTTTATTGGTCTTGTTCTCTACTGTTTTGTCCAACTTTATAATATCTAATAAGATAGACAATTCTTTTTAAGGAAACAAGGGACAACGTTGATAACCATTGTTGATAAACTTGTACTCTGTTCTACACCATGTGCTACGTCTATCCTTGGTATTGACTGACAGCTTTGTTTTGCCATATTTGACTGTATTCTTCCCCCCCCCCAAAGAAAGTAATAAGCACTAAGGAGTAATAAAATCCAAGATGTGTAAATTTTGTTGTAAAAAAGAGAGGGAAAAAAAAAAAAAAGAAAAAGAGCTCTAACGGATATAACAGCAAGTGTGTTTGGGGGTGTTAAATAGCTGACTTTATCAATGTTTTTGGAACATTGAACACAGCTGTTTGCAGTCTCCCTGTTTGAATGTCCACCTTGTGTTCTTTGATACTGTGATTTGAGGAACTATTTTCAAGAAAATAGTGTGTAATCTACTAGCAGGTAATTTCTTACTGTTATGGTTTTTTGTTTTGTTTTGTTTTGTTTTGTAGTTCTGTATTGCGTGTACCCTTACGCCGCTTTGGTTTGTTTTTGTTTTTCTCTTTTTCCTCTTAAATAAAAAAAAAATTTATTTGTCTTTGGTAATCCTTGTTCTGAACCAAGAAATATAACTCATAATCCACCTACTCCACAATGGCATTTAGGGAGGTCCATGAAATCATGTATGTCAATTTCCTAACAATTATACCAACCCATAGGCTTTATTAAAAATATGTTTGTTTTTATTAGTCTTCGTTGATCCTCATCAAAAGTATCATCACTGGTTTCCCCATTCTCCCATCTTCTTTAGTATTAAATGCATAAGATCTATAACATATGGAATCCATTTACATCATCAAAAAGAGCTTGCTTTATTTTAAAAAAATTGCCTTGCTCCATGAACATAAGTGTCCTTTTTAGACCAGCTGTTGTGTGGAGCATTAGTGGCTACCTGAACTTTCAGTCATCTACATTTGTGTTTTTTGAAAGATAGTTTTGAGCACAAAGTTGTGTAAGCCACTGTGCTAGAACAGAAGAGAATGAAATGAGCAAAACAAAAGCAGTCACTGCTCTTGTAAACCTAGTCTGCAAAATTAAATGGACAGTCCCTGCATGCTCACACATCAGTGAAAATTACACTAAAGTGGGTCTCCTCAGGACATTGTAGTCCAGATGAAAACTCATCAGATCACCATCCTAGAAGGTGTGGGTTGTCATTACCATCAGAACGCAAAGGAAGAAGATATCCACAACAGATCCTGAGCTGACCTAGGAAAAGGGATTCCAAAGTCCATACTTTTCTTTGTCTGGATAAGTATTTAGCTAAAAGCTTCTCCATCCAAGCAGAAAAGTAAAATAGGGTTCCTAATACCAGATGTCTCCAGATAAGTAAACCTGAGCCCCCAAATCCGACTTGTCCATTCTACTTGACTGTTTCTATTGTCTTCCCAAGAACTCTGGTCTTAGAGGAGTGTTCATTCCTGGTCCCATTTCACAGTGGCCCACGAGAAAGGTGGGGAAGGAAGATGCAGCCTGTCCTCCCTTCAGAGATGCTATGGGCACACTTTCTTCACTTACACCTCACGAAAGCTCTCACAGGACCCCCTTCCCAGCTGCCCATCTGTGACTGTTGGAGTTGGCTTGGAGAGTAGTCATACTTTGGCATCAGCTGAATGTCAAAGTTGTTATTGCTGTGTAGCCGGTGAGATCTTTGTTTCTCAGAGGAAGCCTTCCTAGTCATGAAGTAGAGTCATCTTTTGCTTTAATTACACACTTAAAGAAAGAACTGCATATGTTCCTGAGCAGAGGGAACTTTTCTGAAATCATATTGATGATTGGACATATGGGTGGTCTTCAGTCTGCCTTCACCAACATGAGCCCTTCCTCTGGGCCAAGATTCCTGTATTTTCTGTTTCTTGTCACACACTGTCCTCAGAGGAGCTAGTCACTGTGTTACATAAAATAAATTTTGAAATACAGAATTCAGTTAAGCAAAACAAGGACCTAAAGTTTCATTTGAGATTTGATTTTCTGGCTAATATTTATTCATGAGTTTTGGCAGTGACCTTTTCAGCTCCATTTTAAAGATAAATTTCTTATAAGAATTTTCACATTTTATTAAGCTAATTATTCATTCACTAGGCTTCACAGAAGACTTAATATGAAGCTTAGAATTGTGATGAGATCTCTTGTACAAGTGATGAGAGGCTGTCTGCTGTTTACATTTCAGAATGCGTACACCTACATGATGGGTGCATGTGTGATCGTCTTCAGGTTTTTCTCCATCTGTGGAAAGCATGTGAGTATGCAGTGGAGAATTCTATCAAAGGTCACCCGTGACAGCACAGTAGCCAGTGAATTTCAGTCATCTAAAGTGCATAGAGTTGTAGCCCACAAATTATTGAATAATGACTGCACCTTGAAACCAATGATATTAAGTGAAATAAAGCAGAGCCTCGAGCTTAAATATCACAGTTTCTCTTCCTTGCGAAAACCAAAGTGTAGATGAAGAGCAAAATGGAAGACACAAATAGGAAAGTGGGAGACAGGTGACATGAAGTCAAGATTAAAAATATTAAATGTAAAAACAAATTAGTAGTTTAATTGTCTTGTGATATTTCCTACTATTTATATTGCTTCATTTGTTCTTCATAGTCACAGAGTATACACAATTATCAATAAAAAATAATACATCAGCCACAAAAATAAAAATTAATGACCCTAGAAGATGTCCTTTTACTTGTATTGTTTTTATATTTAATAAAGATAACTTTAGTGCAAATAAAAATATTTAGTGAATTATCATGGTTCCATGGGTCTAGATGGGAGTATATTCTTGGTTAATGGTTATGCCTTTGTTCTAGCTATAGTTTTCTTTTTTTAGTGACATTTTTTTTCTTTTTTGTTACTAATATTCCTTCATATATATATATGTATATATATCACATATTCATATCATCAATATATTTAATGTTTTATGATTATTTAGCATGCAATTAATTAGGTTTGAGTTTTGTGAAAATAAACCGAGTCCACTTGCCATAAACCAAAAATGTGTTTAAGGAGAACTAAAAACAAGGCAGGAGAAAATTGGAAGCTAAAAACTTGGGTTGCTACTTTTATTAATGTGGCTTAAAATACTGAACAGTCTGAAGTATGAATAGAATTTTTCAATGCCTGATGATTTCCAAACAATATTTAAATTTAATACCTAGTAGAAAGAAACTTTTGAGTGATAAATTCTTGAGAGTCAGTCTCTAGCCAAACAGTTTAAATAATATTCATTTCCGGACCTTCCACAGCTTGGTCAATTGATTATTCTCTCCATCTCTGTCTGATACCAAATGTCCTCGTTTCCAGGTAACACTGAAGATGCTCCTCCTCACTGTGGTCGTCAGCATGTACAAAAGCTTCTTCATCATAGTAGGGATGTTCCTCCTACTGCTGTGCTACGCTTTTGCTGGCGTTGTTTTATTTGGCACTGTGAAGTATGGAGAGAACATCAACAGGTGGGTGTGTATTTACCTTCCTATTCATTTATCCAGCAACCATTTTAGTAATGAAATCATGAAAAACTTAAAAGATCTCTTTGTCCATTAAAGACTAGGGGAGACGGAAAGGAAAACAACCATTTAGAAATTAAAATAAAATAAATTACCTGAATTTTAAATGGCATTTTCCCACTGAAAAAGTGATGCGTGTTTATTTTAGAAACCTTAGAAAATTCAGAAATGAAGAAAACACAAAGAATCCATAATCCTACTAACCCTTGGGAATATGACTCCTAATTCCACCACTGTTCCTACCTCTTGGTTGTTCCCCAAAATTCCGTACTTTTTCTGAATGAAGCAGTTTTGAAATGTCTCTCTTTTCAGCAAAATATGGAAGGTTAGAAGCTCAAAATTGTGTTAATGTACAGAAAGTATTTTTCAAAAGTTTTCTTAATTCTTATGGGAGCATTTCATTTTTTTAAATGTATTGAAGCAACCAAGTGAAGACAAATGTCCCATATGAAGAAAGGACTTATTTGATATATGTGGCTTCCTTCCCATAGCTTAGTCCAAATGAGTAAATGAATGACTTAACTGTCAAAACTTGCTCACTCAGCCATTCAAGATGGATGAAAATCAGTTGGTGTCCAAACTTGAAGTGACTTGTTCAGGCAGCTATACTTGCAGACAAATAAAACAAATGAGTAAAATCATCTAACTTTTGGAAATGGTAATGTAGCAACCAAAATTGCTGCAAAATCCACCTGTTTTGGTGATAACAAACATCACAACAAACCATATTATTCACATTGTGGCTTTTCATTTTCTTCAATTAGGCATGCAAATTTTTCTTCAGCTGGCAAAGCTATTACTGTACTCTTCCGAATTGTCACAGGTGAAGACTGGAACAAGATTATGCATGATTGTATGGTAAATATTCCTTCATCTCTATCAGTGTCTCAACCTAGAATCAGGATGAAACTCTTTGGCAATGCAGTATTGTGGTGTTGTTATGTTAAAATCAAAACTTTGTATCCAGGCCTTTTAGGCCATGAATTGCACCTTTTCCATTACATTGTATTAATATATAGAAGACAATATTGACTAACCTAACCTGAGCTGTTGTCTTAGTCAATAAGTACACATTGAGCATTGTCCTTTTGACCTTTATCATTGTAGCAGTTAAATAGAGGTGCTCAACTTCTTAAATTTATTGCTTTCAACAGATTTACTGAGCCCTGGTCTGTCCTGGGCCATAGGCTGGGTTCTCATTTCCAAGTCCAAGCTGTCCTGGAGCTGATACCCAGCTGGTCTTACTCTGGCACCCTATCTCCTCCAGGATAATTCTGTATCATTCTTCTAATCTCAGTTTAAGTATCTATTCTTTCTACTGTTTCTCCCTACTCTAGACTGCAGGTTCTGTGTTCTCACAACACTCTGTATTGCTCCTTTGAGGCCTGGACCACAACTGCACTGAATTATTGGCTTAAATGTCTGTGTTCCATCAGCCCCTCACCTTCTGGATCAACGCTGTCCTGTAGAAATTTCTGCAGTGGTGGGAATCTAGGCTGTCCACTTCAGGAGCCATTAGCCAGATGTGGCTGTTGAGCACTTGAGGATCTGAATTTTACATCAAGTTTATCTTTATTTCATGTTAATTAGCATGGATTTAAATTTAAATTGCCACACGGGCCTCCTGTTGCACTGTGCAGTACTGGGGCCTTAGAGGGGCAGGCTTCAGTCTCTCTTTGCAGTCTGTTCCAAATATGTGGCTCAAGCTTTGCACACAGTAAGAACTATACCACTTTATGCACCAGACAAAATTTACCAAATCCAATATAACCCAAGGCAGAACTGAATACATTCTAAGTAAAAGTAGCAGCAGAATGCTATGAGAATGCAGGTGTAAATAGGTGCTCTCTGGCTGAGGGAAACCAGGGCATTTTGCTAGAGGTGCTGGCATTTTAAGGGGCCCCTAGAGAATGATAACCTGAATTTTGTGCTGTTCCCTAATGTCTCAGAGTGCTGCCCCAAAAATGAGGATTACTCCTTATACAATTTAAATGTGAATTTGCTATGCGTAGTTAACCTTCCTAAATCGTAACCCATTTCCTAAGTCTGAACAGTTTGAAATGCCTTTTTATTTGACTTTCCGTAATTTGATCATAGCAGCTACTTAGAACTCGGGGCCAGCAGAAGTAGGAGGATGCACCACTATCAGAAGACGCCAGTTCATTTTCATAGTGCCATGAAATTGGCTCTAACAATTGCAGTGAACTTGGGATTCTACAATACCAGAAAACATAGCACAGATGAAATATTCCTTTTGATTTTTGCTACAGATGACTTACCCAGTGTATGTGGTATCTGCAAGATGACTCTGAAGTTAATAGTAGTCTGCCTGGTTAGGAATACATTCACTAACTACAGTCAGCAGAATTCTGTATTCTTTTCTCCTCTTGCCCTGTCCTCCCTCTTCTCTCACTGCTTCTCAGGTTCAGCCTCCTTTCTGTACTCCAGATGAATTTACATACTGGGCTACAGACTGTGGAAATTATGCAGGAGCACTCATGTACTTCTGTTCATTTTATGTCATCATTGCCTACATCATGCTAAATCTGCTTGTAGGTAAGTGATGTTCATTGAATATTTTTTCATTTCTTCAAACTCAGGTACTCAGATAATTATGTACAATTTTCAAGTAATTACCCAAGATTGCTTGGGGTGGGTGTTTCATGGCCTTAATTATAAATTATTGCCTCTCAACACAGAAGTTGGAAAGACCTTTAAAAGGTATGTAAATGACAGTTGATTGCAATTTCAGGAATTTTACTATTTATTATGATCACTAATTTCAAAAGAGCTCTTCTCATAGATTGCATCAAACGAATTTCAGAGAGGGGCTACCCTGGCGGCCTCAAAATATCACATTTTTTGTTTTTAAACAATACATGTTGTTCCCCAAGTTGTGGGGCCAGAACCAAATACAATCTTTAAAACCTGCTCTGGAGCTCTTAACCTAGGTGACAGCCAGCTGGCACAAATGCCTACACACACACACAGAATGTGTTTGTGTGTATGACCCTCATGTTTTGGGAGCCAAGAACTAGATGAATAATTTTAGTCCAAATGTACAATATGCCAACTTGGAAACTATACTAAAAGCACTTTAAAAATTTGGCTTTATAATGTGGGTGATGAAATCCATTGTTTATAATAGATGTTTTACTTTTCCTTTCAAAAAAAATGACAGATTAGACTAATTGCCTAACTTTTGGATTTTTCTTCTGCTTTTTTTTAGCCATAATTGTGGAGAATTTCTCCTTGTTCTATTCCACTGAAGAGGATCAGCTTTTAAGTTACAATGATCTTCGTCACTTTCAAATCATATGGAATATGGTGGATGATAAAAGAGAGGTAGAGTTCATTGTTTCATGCTCAACCCCAAAAAAATCTACTAACAAATCAGCGGTTTCAATTTTCTAAGATATGGCAACTCATATATATTGACCGTTGAAGGCTACTGCAATAAGCTGTCATTGCTAAGGAACTAAGAGGAAGAGGGATAAAATAGCTCCTCCCCATGTCCTTTCCTGAGCAGCATCCTCTTTAGTCTTCTGGAAGGTCAGCAAAGACAGGAAGTTGAGGAATCTGAAGGAATGAGCCATGAGCTCAGAGCAGGAGAGGAGACAAAGCCACCAAAGGGCAGTATGTTACAGCTTCACGATCACTTCAGCCTCTAGCAGCCAGCCTGACTATAAATACAGTCTAAAAGTTCTCAAAAAGTGGTTGGTCTGAACTGTTTCTGAGTTATTGTATTAATATTTCAACCACAAAGCTCACCTGAGATTTCAGCATCAACCACACCAGCAGCAGCCTCTCTCCTTTTCTCTCCCCTCTCCTCCTTCTCCTCCTTTACTTACTCTTCCTCTTTCTCCTTCACTTCTCATTCTCCTGCTTCCCTTCTTCCTCCTCCATGTCCTTATCCTCTTCCCCATTCTTCATCCTGGAAAGCACTCAGGGTTCATGTCTCAACACTTGAAGACAGAGCAAGAACAGATCAGAAACAGTTTACATTGTAATGGGGTGTGTACAAAGAATAAAAGGTAAACTAACATGACTAGTAATAGTGCAGGCTGTAAGCTAGATGTCTGAAATGCTCCAAAATTTATGAGCACCAACATGGCCCCATGAGTGAAACATTCCACATCTGACCTTATCAAAGCACCATCTCCTTACTCATACTGTGTAAATTTACCTTCAGGCCATATGTATGAAACACAAATGAATTTCATGTTTAGACTCAGGTTCTACACTCCAATACATTTCATTATGTAGATGTAAGTATACCTGGAAAAATACCCAAAATTTAAAACACTTCTGGTCCCTGGTGTGTGAGATAAGGGACACTCTGTACTATTTCAAGAGGGTATGAGCACATTGGTGAAGGTAAAATGGCAGACGGGCGTGGGAGAGGAGCCATGCTTCAGCAGGGATGGTCAGGAGGCCTCCACAGAGGAAGCATTTAGCTGGCATCTGAAAGATGAGGAAAATTCAACCATGGAAAGGTCGAGGCCAGATCCAAAAACAGTCTTAAGAAATGCTGATGACCAGCAAAGATCAGTGGTGCCAAAGTAGGTGTCAGAGGTTTCCTGGCATTAAACCAGGGTCATATGGCAGCTCGCAGCTTTCTCTTCACTCTCTCTATCCTTGGTACCCTCTGCACCTGGGATCTAGCCTATCAGGATTTCCTTCTGAGACAAGGATCAAGGCACAGACATGTGGTCTAGCTATTTCTTCTCACCTGGGCTCACTCCTATCTCCTTGATTGTCACCTACAGGACCTCGGTCTCATCAGATACACTCAGGGAAACCACAGTCCCAGTACACAGGGATGCCAGTGACCAACAGGAAGCCAGGGGTCACCAGGTACATACAGAAACATAGCCAGGGCTGATGTGGTCAGCCACATTGCCTGCAAGGTACAAAGACCTTTTAGAGCTGTTTAGACACAGAAAGAAGGCACAGTTGGGAATCTTATGGTCATAAATATCATTGTTTTGGTCACGCAGAAGACTGAAAGGAGCTATCTTTCAATGGAAGCACAACTTCCAATGCATGTGTCTTAGCTACTTTCCTCATTGCTGGAACAAAACATCCACAACTTATAAGAGTATATTTTAGCCCACAGTCATTTGGCTCCAAGGCAGGATAGCATGGCAGAGGGTAGAGGAGGAAAAGAAGCTCAAATCTTGGCAGACAGGAAGCAGAGAGCTAAGGGGGGATCCAGGAGGGAGATAAAGCCTTCCAGACCACCCTCCCAGTGACCTGTCTTTTAATATCCTAAGAGTGAGTCAGCTGTAAAACCTGTAGTCCAATCACCTTTCCAAAGGCCTCACCAGTGAGCACACAAGGATCTTGGGGGACATCTAGTTATAAACTATAACATGTTTAGAAGTCCTGGCATCCAAAATATGCACATGTGCATTGGCCGTGTATGTGCACATGTGTCACTGGGCACTCAGTGAGTGTGTTAGAAGGAACTGAGACAATAGGATGGGTATGAGTAGTGTTAGCTCCAGGGGAAAGTAAGGGGCTCTTTCTGTCCTCCCTGACTGCACAGTGTACCAAGTTACCATGTCCCATAGGCAGGAGAAGCCCAGGCCCACTCTGCCTGCTCCTGGCACTGGTGATTGCGCCTACCTCCCAAGACGCTGGTCAACGACTTTCTTCCCTCCTTGTACTAGCTATGATATCATTGGAGAAATAGCTCCTGTCTTAAGTTTTGCTCTGTCTTGTTTTTTCCCTATGAAAAGAGACCCCCAAGGGGCTGGAGATTTAGCTCAGTGGCATAAGCACCTGCCTTGCAAGCAGACGGTCATGAGTTTGATCCCTGGTACCAATAAAAAATGAAAAAAAAAAATGAAAAGAGACCCCCAAACGAACCCCCAGAAGGTCTGACTTGGGGTTGTGCTCTGCCCCCAGGGTGTGATCCCCACGTTCCGCGTGAAGTTCCTACTGAGGCTGCTGCGTGGGCGGCTGGAGGTGGACCTGGACAAGGACAAGCTTCTGTTCAAGCACATGTGCTACGAGATGGAGAGGCTGCACAATGGCGGCGATGTCACATTCCACGATGTCCTGAGGTATGCAGCGAGGGTCACAGCCAGGGTGACAGTGCCTGGTGGAGTCCAGAGATAAAAGTTGAACTCCTCAGAGGCTTTGTGAATATCATTAACAAGTCTGTCCAGAACCTAAAAAGCCACATTGCCATGGATATAAAAGGGACTACACATCCCAGGCATGAAGTGGCCTTTCTCACTGTCCCCCAGAGTTCATTTCCAGTGAGATGTGACAGGCAGTGGCCTGATGTCCAGTCAGCGGATACTAGAAGGGACCTGAGACTAGGATTTCCACCTCTTCATTCTAGGGTAACAGCACTGTCCTGTTTAAGTGAAGCCACTTGCTCGTGGTCACCTCACCTGTGGCAGAGGCGTGGCTGATCCCTTCTTCTTCCTCAGGCACTTCTGGAAGTTTCTGCAGGCCCACTCTGTGGTGGCTGCCCCTAGCCATAGTTTCCAGACTTGTAATGAGCACTCAGGTGGAACAAGGAGTCAGCCCAAGGCTATGATTTTCCTTCTTTCTGAGACCTCTGTAACAGTCCCCAGGGCTGCTGTGACAAGGTGCTATCAACTGAGTGGCTGGAACAACAGAAACCAACTCTCTCCTGGTTCTGGAGACTGGAAGTCTAAGGTCTGTTGGCGGCATTGGCCTCTTCAGACATTGGGAGGTGGGGAGTCTGTCCCAGGCTCTTGCCCAGCTTTTAGTGACTTCTTGCCAGTGTTTATAGTGGAGGAGCAGCACCCCGAGTGCACTGCAGTCTAAACACAGTGATTTCCATGTGTGTGTGCGCACAGGTGTGTACATACCTGTGGCCAAATTCCTCCCATATTAAGGGCTCAGTCACATTGCATAGGGCCCAACGTGCTCCGGTGTAACCCTGTCCAAACTAATGACATCTGGAATGTGCTTCTTGCAAATAAGATGAAATCATGAGTTACTGAGAGTTATGATCCCAGGATACCTATTTTGAGGGGAAAATGTTTGACTAATAACAGCTTCTTAAATAGGAGCCCCTGGGAAAAAGACTTATAAGCCTATGACTTGGAAAGGGAAATAATTATATTTTTATTTTCCATAATTGTTCCTGGAAATGCAATGTTTTCTCTAATGATGAGGTTAAGCAACAAGCAACAATATTAACAATATCTATGCCTTGTCACCAGGAGAAATCTAGAGAAATCATGTCACTGCCTGCCTTGACTGGAATTTTAAAATATCGTTTATGCTCACCAGTACTTTAAGGCTTAGACGTCACTTAACCTAAGTTAGATGTTATTATAGCCTTTGTAATAATGTGTATTTCATTGCATGCATTTAAAACATTATTCTAAGAAATGCCCCCATAAGCTCCCTTGCCAGAGAAATCTGTGCCTCAGAAAAGTTAAAAGAATTTTTTAAAAAGAAAGTTAAAAAGAAGTCATCACTCTCAGTAGCTATTTTGATCATATTGCGAGTACCTGACAAGTGTTGGATAAGTCACAAATTCTGGGAGAATGTAGGTATACAGAAATATCCTTGCAGCTAGAAGATGAAAAGAGATGAGATCAAAACAGGAAGGACCTGGAAAGTTCCTCTGAAGTTATCCATTTTGCCTCCCACTATTCATTTCTTCCATGGACAAGCTAAGAAGCAGAAAAAGGTGGACAGAAAATACAGATGAATAACAAAGGATGCCATCTCTCTCATAATGTTAGTCTTTCCTGTTAATGCTAAGTTTTTAGGTTGCATGTGTGCCATGTAGACATGCTGTTGTCATTAATAATTAACCTTTGAACCTTTCAGAGAACAAAGATGCATGCATCAGATATGATAGAAAAATAAAGAGAATATTTAAAGTTTTAAAATATAGTAGAAGGCACATTGCCACCCCCTCCTCTTTAAAATACTCCTCTTGACTTTAAAAATACATATCACATTATTCTTGCCTCTTTCTGAAGCAGCTCTGAAAGTCCTCTTTCATGAGTGTCTTCAGTTGTGCAGTTGTGGCTGCTCTGATGTCTGGAATCAATTTAAAATGTTTACCTTTTGTGCTCATTTTGACCTTGGGAAGAGCCAGAAATTGCACAGTGCCAGTCCTGGTGGATAAAGTAGAAGGGAACACCTTAACCCTTTTACCACCCTGCTCTTTCTTTGGATGGACTTAAGCAGTGACATTGGCTGTTTTGTGAAGACACTTGCGAAAGAAGACTTCCAAAATGACTTCAGAAAGTGGCAAGAATGATGGAATGAGTGTCCCAAGCCAGGAAGAATATTTTGATGGGGGTTAATGGTGATGTATCTTTTCCTGTAATATTTCTTTATTTAAATATTTTCATCATACTTCATAATAGAAAGGGACCCAGCCAAAGTCACTAGTGGTGGTTTTCCCCCCTTGCTGTTCTTCTAGCCCAGGGAATGAAACAAACATTAAGAAGGATGAGATTCTTGATGAGTTCAGGGATGAGAAGAAGAGAAAATGTGCTTTTTTTTTCCTCTGGAGCAGGCAGAGACTTATCAAAGAAGAGAAAACCAATGTCCCAGTGCCCCACAGACTGTAATCTGGGCTCCAGCACTGGCCCTAAACTCAGAGCATGGGGATTCCAATTGGAATTTGAGGCTCTGCTATTACATGGGCTGCATAGTCCTGCCAGAAGGGGCTGTGTTTTCCTTTGGTTGGGGACCCGACATGCTGTGAGTTGCCTTACTGCTCTTGGGCCTGATGAGTCTTAGTGGCTGTGTTAGATACACTCACCACTTTCTGGGCCAATTCAGCGAGGGGTGAAATGGGAATCAATGTTCAGTCCTGGCTTTGTAGCCTCTGAAAGTAATGAAGAAGACACAGAGAGATAAATGAGATAAATTGAGAGGGAAGGGAGTAGGGGGCATGCAGGACACACAGCCAAGAAGACAGTATGAGGGAGCACTCTTCCCTCTGCAGAGAAAGGTCCAGAGTCTGCACATAGGCTGCTAGAAAGGTAGAACATTGCGTCACCTGGATCTTTTGTTGGACAAGCACTTGGATAGGACTTACTGCTCTAAGTGTCGCAGGAACACTAACTCGTTCATCAGTCAGGTAGGTACCAAGACTGTCTTCATTGTACCGACTAGGGAGAGAGACACAGAAGTATAACCAGACTATGTCATCCAGCTAGTCAGGGGTGACATCAAATCACTGCGCTGGTTGGGCTGAGTGACTTCCTGTCTGGACTCTGACACTCCCAAGTGTCTATGTCTCCTGTGCTTCCTCCACAGCATGCTCTCCTACCGCTCGGTGGACATTCGGAAAAGCCTGCAGCTGGAGGAGCTCCTGGCTCGGGAGCAGCTGGAGTACACCATTGAAGAGGAGGTGGCCAAGCAGACCATCCGCATGTGGCTCAAGAAGTGCCTCAAACGCATCCGGGCCGTGAGTGAACAGCGAGCATGTGGCTGGGTCCCACCCTCAGAGGAGGAGGGGTGAAAGGAGAGAGCCCCCTGAGCATGGCCCAGAGCCACCTGTCGCTAGCTGGTCTCCTTCACACTGTGGCCACTGCACCCACTCAGAGGGGCCAGAAGCTGCTGCAGACATCATTCAGGTCCAGACTCAGTCTTGTTCCCTTCAGCAGTGCCCTTAAGGTGGCTGTGGTGAATTACATCTTCCTTATCTTACATGAAGGTTTAAGCAGCAACTTCATGATATTGAAATATGTATGATAGCCATTTATTAAATTCTACTAAATTCCAAAAATATCTGCTGAGACTAATTTACAAAACTACTTTTCAATTGCCACTAAAAATTCCAAGAAACCATTGATAATGCTGCTTGGTCTCTAAAGACTATCTCTCATGAGATTTTAATGATCTGTCTGCTGTTTCCTGAACTAGAAGTTTGTAAGAGCATCTAACTCATAAATTAACAAACATATATTATGTGAGCACATAGGTGCTTACAGTGAGTGTCTCTTTTAGATAATTACTTCCCTGGCTGTTTTGCTTATGCTTCACACATAGAAAAGATAAAACTACTCACTATTTAATGTATCATAATGTTTGCATAAGATTTGTTTGTTCTTTTCTTCAGAAAGACAACATCATAGTACAGAAATATGCATTTCTGTTGGAAGAGGGAGGGTCCACAAAGAAAAGAAACACCCAATCTCCTGTAATGAGATCAACTGCCCACTGTGGCCTTGTCACAGCTGGCTCCCTGAAGACTCTTCTAGCTCCAGGGACCAATCTGTCTGCCATAGGCTCAAGGACAGCACAGGATTCCTGGCCTCAGGCTGTGCCAAGGCAAACTGGACCACTGCATTGGCCAACTGGGCTGGCCCACACAATCCAGAACCAACAAGCAATGAGGTTTCCTCCACCTCCCGAAGCTCACTGTCTCCTGCTCACTGCAAGAAAGGGAGAACAGGAGAGGGAGGCCAAGCATGGGTTTAGTAGCAAAGAATAAAATAAAAGTAACAAAAAAAAAAATAGAACACCCAAGTTAGTAATTTTAAATAAGACATGAGGCGATAACAATGAGCACAGCTAATACAATTGTTAGGCAAATGGAAAGCAATGAGAAGGCCATTCCTAAATCTCTAAGCCCTCTTTTGGGTCAGTCTGAGTCATCACTGGAACTTGTTCCAGAGCTTCCTGTGGAAGCTCCTAAGATGTATCTAACCCCACAGGTGTTTGGAGGGCACAGAAGAGAATGTGACATGGATGGGGGTGGGGAAGAGGTTGATGGGCTCACTTTTCCCTTCCTGAGGGGGCAGCATCTTCCCACAGAAACAGCAGCAGTCATGCAGCATCATTCACAGCCTACGAGAGAGCCAGCAACAGGAGCTGAGCCGCTTCCTGAATCCTCCTAGCATCGAGACCACGCAGCCTAGCGAGGACACAAATGCAAACAGCCAGGACCACAATACACAGCCCGAGGTAGGGGTGTGAAGTGTCCTTCATCCTGTTCTATGAAGTTCCTTCCTTGATTTAGAACATTTGGAGGGCTGGACATAGAAACATTTCAACCAAGGTGGCACTATGTCTCCAAGAGTTTTTTCACTGAAACCAACCAAAGTGGTCAGATGGAACCAATATATATTTGTGTCTTTGCCATTCAGGATTCAGTGGTACTTGGTTCAAAAGATTCTGATTTGTATGGTAGTGAGCTTTATAATACTGAGACAAAACATGTGAAATAATCGACTTCAAAGGAAGATAGGTTTATTTTGGCTCACAGTTTTGTGCAAGATTTCAGTGCATGAGTGGTGGGCCTGTATTTTAGGCCCATAGAGAGGCAGCAGCAGCGGGTGTCTAAGGAAGCTGCTGAGCTTGGAGTAACCAGGAAAAAAGAGAGAGACCAGAAGAGCTAGGATCCCAATATATTTTTCAAGGGCATCTCCCAATGACCTAATTTCCTCAAAGACTCACTTCTGCTACTTCCTTTGTCAAGTCTTTGGGGTACATTCAAAATCCAAGCCATGACATGTGAACACCAAAACACATTAGTACCCTGAATGCTGCGTTTGTTTTCTGTCACCTGCTTGTTGCCTTTTGTTTTATTTTCTTGTTTGTTTGGGGTTTTATTTTTGCTTTGTTTTGTTGCTTATGTGGTGGTGGTGGGGGGGGGTCTTTGGTTCTCTTTGCCTACAGACTTAGCATCACATCCAAGGGCTGAGTTTGAGTCTACAAATGCTACATGCCTTTGGAGAGGACAGGTTACATGAAGCTTCCCCTCAGCAACTCATTGAATCTTGCTAACTTTATGTTACTGAAAATGTTTGCACTTGGTTTTCAACTTTTCTCAGCGACAGACTCATTGAGGATTCTTCCTTTCTTAGATGAGCATCAGGGGAGCATATGGAATTTAGGATGAAGGAGTGAGGAGCTTTTAGTTACTGAAACACAGAATATCTTCATTCCCAAATTCAGTCTACATAACTACTAAAAAAAAAAAAAAAAAAAAGCACAGAGTCATCTACACTCTGGAGAGCCCTGAGTGGGGACAGCAGCTGCCAGGGAGGCCCTGTCCTTTAGGAGGCTGCAGTTATGAACTTAACTTCACCATGTGGAGCTCATCCAGCCTTCTGTGCAGAACCCTTGGTGGCTCAGACTGCAAGTGTAGCAGCATAATCAGGGGCTAGGGACCAACTCCAAAGCCTGCGGCTCCACAGCCCAGCAGAAGGCCCATGTACTAGCCCAGTTTGGGGGCAATTTCATGTCATTGCCTCCCAGCCTGTAGGAATCATCTGGATCTGCCATAAAGGGAGTCAGCAAAAGGATGAGCAGGCATGGACAGTAGCCCTTCTCTGGGTCTCCCCTGAGGGCAGCTGGCAGTGCCTCACGTCAGAGTCAGGGTGGGGTCCCGACACACACAGTGAGACGGTAATGGTGATGATTGCAGAGCTCTCTGGCTTACACTTTTTAAAAATCTAGAGAGAGGTATCTGGCAAGTCAAGAGGGAATTCTGACACAACGTGAAAGCCAAGGCTTTGATGAGGAAAAACAAAGCTGCTGAGTGAAGCAGAGCGCAGAGAGCGAGTGAAGCATCAGGAGGTGTTCAGCGTTAGGCTGTCAGCTGTGTCCTCCAGGGGCCATTACAGAGCTCTGCCCGTGGAGCTGCTTTTCTGAAGCTCCAGGTTCTGACTTTGTCTGGCGAAAGCCTACTACTCTAGATCCAGCCAGCCCTCGCTGCCCTCTTCCTCTCTGCAGTGCCACCATCCCTGCCTGCCTTGCCAGCCAAGGTATAAAGTGTCAACAGTGTCCTTGGGGATGGAGTGATCAGGGTGGGCCTACACAGGAAGTGCTTCCTGAGGAGCTATCTCCTTGTGCCCCTTGCATTCATGCCTGGACGGCTTTCCTTGACTCTCTTTACCCAGGTTCACATTCCCTTTCCCTCCTGTGAACACTGTGTGTCCCTGTTACTCTTCCCATTTGGTTTCCCACCTTGCTTCTTTTTTTTCATTCATGAAGAGGAGAGTTCAGACCAGTGGAAGCAGTGAGCAGGAGGACAGTGTTAAGAAACAGCCATAGCTTCTCTTATGAGATAATTTTTTTAGATTCCACAAAAGAATGAGACCATGTGGTATCTGTCTGTCTTTTTTCACATAATATGATGTCCTCCAGCTCCATCTATGTTACAGAGCCTGATATCTTATACCATGGTGGGGTAACCATCTTCAACAACAACCTCTGATTATTTCAAAGTAACTAGAAGAATCCAAAGGTTCCCAATACATAGAAATGATAAATGTTTGAGGAGATGGAAATTCTGACTCCCCACATTCATCATTACACATTGTGTACATGTATTGAGTTATTGTTCCAAACCTCATAAACACCTACAAGCATTATGTAGCAATTAAAATATTTTTTAAAAGATGAGAGAGACATAACCACCTACTTCTTCTCCCACACAGACGAGCAGCCAGCAGCAGCTCTTGAGCCCCACTCTCTCGGACAGAGGGGGAAGTCGGCAGGATGCGGGTGATGCTGGGAAGCCCCAGAGGAAGTTTGGGCAATGGCGTCTGCCCTCAGGTTGGTACATCAGTCATTTCTCCCTTAGCTAAGGTCTTTAAAAGATCTTTACTGTCTCTTCTTTGGGTCTTGGACTTAAAAATACAAGGTCAGAATTACCTTTCTGATGCTATAACCAAAACTTGAGAAATCAATTTCAAAAGAGGGAAAGTACATTTTGGCTCATGGGTTTGGAGGTTTCAGTCCATGGTTGCTTGTCCCATTGCTTTGGGTCTGTGGTGAGATGGAATACTGTGGTGTAAGAAGCTGCTCACCTGCCACAACTAGGAAGCAAAGATACATGTGTCCTAATCTCCTTCCAGGGCACACCTCCAACAACGTCTTACTACATCCACATCTTATAGGTTGCAATATCTCTCAGTAGCACCAAGTGGGGGGGGGGGTCAAGCTTTTAACACAAGGGCCTTGGGGGACATTTCAGATCTGAACTATAGCAAGGTCTCTGATTGTTTACAGACAGTGAGCCAGTCATAAATGCATCCCCTTAGCAGAACTATTCTCCAAATAACTTCTCTAAATGTAACTATACTTTCCGTCAGCCCCAGCTGAGAAGGCAGCATCTAGGAGCAAAGTGAGCTGACAGAACCAAGATCCAGAAGGAAAGGAGGAGATTTCCAAGGGTATCTCTGTGTATTTAAGACAAGGCAATGAGGGGCAAATTTTTATTAGTTCTGAGAAGGAATGAGCCGACATCATGAGAAAGTATCACAGGCCTCTGCTTTGTCTCAGTACCCATTTGTGTATGTTGTGATAGGTAGCTGAGCAGTTCACCATCTTCATGCACTCTAATTAGCTAAATAACAACAGCAATAATAACAACAAACATTACTAATCACTAGGCTAAGTGCATTGCTTGTTTCCTCAGTCAGTCCTCATAATTCTGTTATTTTTCCTACTTTACTGAGCAAGCAAGAGAATTTTGTTCTAAATAAATATAGGGTTTTAAGAAGGTAGATAATTGTGTTAGAGCCATGGAAGGAGGAAGAGCAAGCTGTGTACTCCCTAGAATCCCCTGCACATGGTGCTCTCTTCAGAGGACCAAGTCTGGGAGGAAACATGGCTTACATGCTTTTTAACTGCACCCCAACTTTAGGCCTATCCAAATGAGGTGATGGATGCAAACTCTTCTACGCCACATGTTCCAGCAAGCAATGAGGGTACAACTTACAGTTTGCAGCTAGAGATGTTTAGTGGATCTTAATTAATGTCACTGCCAAGGAAACTGTTCTTTTCATATCTGAGAGTTTACTATTCAGGGATCACAGATGACCTAGGTGTTGCCTTGTTCATGTAAAGCCAGGACTGATGGAAAATAAGACTGAGTAGATGGTTGAGCCAAACATGAAAAGTCTTTTATGACAGGCCAGGAAGTTTCAACCTCATCCTGTAGGCAATCAGGAGCCAGTAAAGTTTTTGAGGCAAAATGCGACTTTTAGAATCCATGCTTTTGGGAGAGCTAATTGTCTAGGCCAGTATCCAGAGACAGGTTACAAGCTGCAGGATATTACCATAGTCCTGGACCATACTGGAGGTCCAAATGCCACAAACACAGATGAGAAAAACGGTCTGGGAAAGATTGTTCCATCATTAGTGCATTTAAAAGCATTTTTTAAAAAAAGTATGTTGTCAAAACTGCCTCCAGTAGTCCACACCTAGATAAGCCTAGAATCCAAAATAGCAATAACTATCTGCTGGGGACATGTTGAGTTTTAGGAGGCAAAGAGAAAGTAAAAGAGCATGGTAAGGAGACACCAATAATGTACCAGTGTCACACTGTGTCATTTAATGTATTTTAATCTTTACAATAATTACAATTAGGACATTTTCATTCTCTTCGTTTTACAGTAGAGAAAATTTGGGTTCAGTGATGGGAACTTGCCATGGCTATGTACCTACAGGTTACAGAGGTGGGACCCAAGGTCATGACTGTGGGAACCTTGAGTCACATCTGTTTTTGCACTCACTACTACCCCCTCTACCCTTCCCATTAACTTCACTATCACTCCTGTTTCTTCACTCTTTTCTTTATATGCATATGTAATTAACATCAACTAATGATACTTGTATTTATCCAATTTGGAACTTTTAGTAATTTTCATAATTAACCTGATAAGAGGGGCAAGGAGCATATTTTTCCAAGTATTATTATTGGTTGTCTCTGACCATAATTTTTAAACATATTATAAACAATCAAAACCTGGAAAGTTTTCTTACTTAACATCTAAGTATCGGACTTTAGGAAGCTAAAAAGTCATTGATGGAATTCTGTTGTTTCCAGAAATGATTGCAAGAGGTGAAGGAATACCAGCTTGCTCACGGGATTCTTCTTAATTCCACAGCTCCCAAACCAATAAGCCATTCAGTGTCTTCGGTTAACTTACGGTTTGGAGGGAGGTCAACAATGAAGTCTGTTGTGTGTAAGATGAATCCCATGACAGACACGGCTTCCTGTGGCTCTGAGGTCAAGAAGTGGTGGACGAGGCAGCTGACTGTGGAGAGTGACGAAAGTGGAGATGACCTTCTGGATATTTAGGTGGAAATCAATGCAGAAAAAAGTGTAGTGGTGAAAACTGTTTTCTAATATTCTCCCTTAACTGTCCAGTAAGCAATCTTTGATTGATGTATGATTGAATTCCTGGCACAAGATTTTTTTTTAAATTGATGTTTGTTCTATCATAGCAAGGGATCAAAATTGGTCTGCCCAACCTATGTGTCTGATATAATATTATCATGCATTCAAGCAAATTTGGGGCTGGAGGTATAGCTCAGTGGTGATCACTTGCTTGGCATGTGCAAGGCCCTGAGTTCAATCTCTAATACAGGAAAACAAAAAGGAAAGATAAAGAAAAGAGAAAAAATTATATAGTGGCAGTATTGATAATAGAAACTATACCAACCACAGACATAGATCATTCAACAGTTTCGTATGTTCTGTGTAAAGTGTACATTTATATGCCCTCTTATGCATCACCACAGAACTTATAGCTTTAGTTCACTGATTTTCTATTGCCTCTAGAAATATTTCTCTTGAGAGAATTTATTATTTATGATTGATCTGAAAAGGTCAGCACTGAGTTCATGCTAAAATGAGAGTGATTTCACAAACTACAGATTGTGCATTTTGAGAGTATGTCCTTTTCCTTGTGTTATTGTTTAAAATATATACAAGGTATTTAGAGATGAGAACAAATGGTTTTCTGTCTTTAGTTATTCTGATGTAACTGCTGTCTGCTTCCAAGAAAATTATATGTGCAGATCCCAAGCAAAGAAATGGATCCAGGATAATAACTGATACAAAACAAACTTGTAGATAGACAACTTGAGGACATGGAAGTACAATAAGGCTGTTTCTTTAAAAGACTTTTAATAACCAAATCTATCAAAAAACAGTAAAACAACATAAGTCATTATTTTAAAAACTCTTACATGTATGGTGTTATTACTGACTTCATTACTTACCTGGATTCCCAAGGTCTGAACATTTTTATATCACCAGAGACATATGGATTTCTCCCAACACACTATGCTTAGATTCAAAATGAGCCCTCAGCTATCAAAATCACCTGTGGAAACCATGGTGCCCTATAAAATCTTACTCTGAAGATTTGACATATGGCAATTATGTTTTCTAGCATATCAATGGTCCATATCCTCAGAGAAAATAGCAATTGCAAAATGATTGTAAAATACATCATTTTGGACTCTTGGCTAGATATCTCAATGAAATAGAAATGAGTTTCTATTAGTCTTCTATTCTCTAGTTAGTAACTGTTTCGTTACTAACTAGAGACTTAACTGTTTATTTTTTAATCAGACTGATTATCTGAGAATTCTTTGACTCCCAAGTTGTTTTATGATCTTTTTCTCTATTTAACAGTCTTTCAATAGCCAAATACCACATTCTTCTGTATCACAAATGTAACATTGTGGTGACAGTTGATTATTTTTATGGCTAAGTGTGACTACAAGATTATGTGCAATTCAGGTCTGTGCATTTGAAATGATTTTACTTGGTTTTATGATTACTTTGGAGTTTACTTTTTGTACATTAAAAACAAAAATAAATATTGGATTTGTAAAATAAACAGAGCTGATGATGATTTTTAAACCTTTTCTTGGCAAGTTCTGGGGATGGTGCTAGGTCTTTAGCACTTTGCAAACCCTGGAGAGAATATTCAGTCCATAATTGTTGAACAAAAACTCTGTCTCTGGTATTCATTTCAGCTCAGATCCCTGATCCAGAGTGCTCTTCTCACTTTCATGTGGCTAAAACTGGGTGATACTCCTGTGCCTTCCAAAGGTCCAACAAAGAGAGAAGGCACTTCCATGTGTAGGGCTTTGTACTAGTGCTGCACAAAAGCAAAGTCTCCTTGCTCAGCCCATTACACCTGAATGATGCAGCTTCATTCCCACAAAACTGCCAAGCCCTTCCCAAAACATCTGTCATTGAAGATCAAGACGATGTCACTGTTCATTCTGCAAAGGAAGAGGGACAGAGCTGACATGCAGTTAGAGAAGCAGTCCCCAACATAGTCAAGTAAAGCAAACACTTCATGAAGAAAGCATCTCTAGAATTTTCTGAAGCAAGTGGGGCAGACAGCCAGCATGGGAAGAAGGCACCACCCCCTTTTAGAGGCTACTTCCTGACAGTGAGCATACTTAGGAACTCTCAGAAAGACAGACGGGAAAATTAAGGCCCCAGTGCTCCCTGGTCCTTATGGAGCCCAGTTACTAAATCCTGTCACCATGTCACCCATTGCCTTTAATCAAAAGAGACATTGAATTCAGGGGCACCAAAAAGCCTCAGGAATAGCACAGTTGATCCAGAGCCTCTGGGAAATTACAGACCACACACAGGCACTATCCATGTGGCAATGGAGGGACCCAGAGGGAAAGGGAAGGGGACAGAATAGCCAGCGCCATTCAGTATGTTCTTACTGGTGGTTCCAGACCCAGGCCCACAGCACTGACCAGCTATTGGTGCCCATGCTGCCATGCTGAATAAGATAAGGGTGTATAGAAGAAAAGATGCCATTGTAAAGCCTTACACAAAAGAGGTTTCTAGGCGAGCCAAATGCTGTTTACCTGTTCATTTATTGCAAGAGGCACACAGCAGATCCGTGATTTTCAATCTGTTATTTAGAAGTGGCACACTTTCTCAGAGACACTCTTTCAAGGGATCCCAGAACTTCACTGGAGAAAAGATTGCACAGCCCAGGTGGAAGCAGGACTGAATCCCATCAATATGGGCCCTGCTGACCTATTGTCACAAATTGAACTATATCCCCCAAAAGGTATGATGAAATTCTAACTCCTGGCACAGTGACTATAACTTTATTTAGAAATAGGGCATTTGCAGAGGGAATCAGTTATGATGATGTCTTAGTACAGTGAGATGGATCATCATTTCAGTAACAGTAAAAAGAAGAGAGGGATACACACAGAGATTAATACCCTGAGAAGAAAGATTTTCAGGGAAGATGGTTCGTGGAGACAGGAGCAGATACCGGAGTGGGAGACCCACAAACCAAGAAGTGCCCTGGCTGCCAGCAACTCTGAGGAGCATGGAAGGATCCACCCTGTTGACTTCAGAAGGAGCAAGGCTCTGTCAACACTGGCCAGCACAACTACACAAAAATAGATTTCTGTTACTTCAAATCACCCAATTTATGATAGTTTGTTATAGCAGCCCTAGAAGACTAACACCCCAAATTCACGCCTGCCCCAAAACACCCTCATGTTCCCAGGAACTCAGTCTGGTAAATGTTAGTATAGAGCACAAATCAGGAGCTTTAGAGTGTGGGTCCATGCTATCATGGTGTGTAACACTCACATTAGTATTTTTTAATAGAGAAGAGTGTCTCCATTTAAAAATTGCTCTTGACCTCAAACTCATGAAGATGGCAGCTATCCAAATAAACTGGCCTTTACAAAAGGAAAAGAAAAAAACACAGAAACAAGAAATGCTTGATCAGCATAGAGAGGAAGTAGAATCTGTGTTCTTTTACACTGTTGGTGGAAATCTAAAATAGCATAGCCACCTTAGAAAGTGGCATTGTGGTTTCTCAAAAAAAAAAATTAAAAATAGAATTACTATATTACCTACTTGCATCTATAGACACAGAATAATTTAAAGCCAGGTCATAGAGATATTTGTTCACATACTCCTGCTTGTGACAGAATTAGTCACAAAAGCCAAAATAGTAGAAATTAACCTAGATTTCCATGGGTGAATGAATGGACAGACACAATGTGGTACATATACACAATGGAATGCTATGCAGTCTTTTAAAAAAAAGCAAATTTAAACACATTCTATGCCACAAATCAACCTCAAGGACATTATGTTAAGTGTTATGGTTTATATCTAGATGTCCCCCAAGAGCATCATGCACTCATAGGCAGGGATTGGACTATGGGGGCATTAGCACCGACTCACTGTTAGGAAGTAGGTACTGCAGCAAAGGTGGGTCATGGGATGTGTCATAGAAGGACTTATTTCCCTCCCCAGCTCCTCCATTTATCCTCTCTGTTTCCTAGCAGTCATGCTTTGAGTAGATCTCTCTGCTGTGCTTTCTGGCTCCAGATGATGATGGGCTGAAACCTCTACAAACTGTGAGCCAAGACAAGCCTCTCCTCCTTAAACTTGCGGATGTCAAATGTTGTCTCAGTGATAAGGAAAGTGACCAAGACATGAAGCAAAATAAGCTAATCACAAAAAAACATGAATTCTGTAAGTAAAATTAGAGGTAAACTAAGCTAATCACAAAAAATAGGAATTCTATATCCTTTCAGTTAAATAAGGTATCAGCAGAAGCAAGCTCATAAAGCCTCAAAGTAGAAAAGTAGTTGTTAAGTGGGAAAGAAAGAGCAGTTTTGCCTAAGGGGTTCAGAGCTCTGCTTCTGCAAGATAAGCAAGCACAGAAATGGTTGCACAGAAATGTGAATACACTTTGTACCACTATGTTTGCACTTTAAAATAGTTCACATGATAAGTTTTATTGAATGTATATTTTACTACAAATATTTTTAAACAGTTAAATACATCCTGTTCTCTGATCCTAAAAGCTAATGACCAAATCAAAATAGCAAACAATTCCAATGTCATCCTTAGATTATGCTTCCATGTTCATCTGCTTTCTGTGATTTAAATTCTGAATTGTCTCTTGGCCAAAAAGAGCTTAGTGTCATCTAAACCAGCAACGGTATTTTATTACTTTGCTTCAGGGCTGTAGGTCACCCATTCAATTTGAAATCTCTCTGCAGTATGCCTGCTAAATATCCAAATGCCATTTAGACAATAAAGGGCTGACAAATCTTGTTCTTCAAATTACACCATGAATGGTTTATTAAGAGATAGATTTGAAATTATTTCTCATTCTCCCTCCCTAGGAAGTAGTTTAATATCAACATCAATTTTAGAGGCTTGGTTACAAAATCAGCTAACCTACAAGAGGAATTAGATAGCTTCATTGTGTTCCATTCTCAAATTGGTATTTGTCCCTCTATTTCCTAAACAATGTGGATGATGACCCCAAGACAACACCAACTGGAACATTTGCTTAGCTGCATCGTTGCCAACTGTGTTCCCAATGCCCAACTGGCCATGGAGCTGTCAACATTTCACTGAGGCCAAAGCCACCCATGGGTGAGAAATATGATAAGACCCAGAGGTTCCCTGAAAATAAATACATAATAAAAGATCATACTCTTCTAGTCTGAGCCATGTCAAAAACATCTGAAATAATAAAATAGAAACTTAGCCAAAGATTGCCAAGAATAGGAACAAAACAGCAACAAACTTTCCAGAAAAACCACCTTTGGCCAATATCACAAAGGATGCATAAATTATAAAAGAATAGCAGTTTTTATCTGAAGTATCTATATACCTTCAGCACTCTTTATTTTCACATTGGAGCTGCATAGGATAAAAGCATAAAGAGAGTAGAATAGAGGATAAGGGAACAGAGAGACTGGGAGGGAAAAAAGTCTCTCTTCTGTTTTCCTAGAAAGCACTCTATTTCAAGCTTTCAGGTAATTAGCTAGAGTGTTGGCCAATGGGCCCAGAGGCCCAGGGCACAGTTAATCTGGAATAGGAAGTGTGTATTCATCAAGGTTACCTAGAAAAACAGAACCAATAGATGTATGTGGGTGTGCATGTGTGCTTGTGTGTGTATTTGTGTGTGTGATTTATTTTAAGAAATTGGCTCATGCCATCTGTGAAAAATAATGCCATGCCCAAAGTCTTTCCAATAAGCCAGCAGGCTGGAAATTCTCACAAGACTATGTTTTACGCTCTGTCTTTGGAGAGAATTCCTTCTTCAAGGAACCACAATTCCTCAACTTGATGAGGAATATACATATTTCAGGCATTAATCTTCTCCACCCAGAGCCTGATAAGCGTTAAACATATCTTTAAAAAAAATACTTTCCCAGCAACATCTAGACCACCAAGTGGGCACCACAACCCAGCAAGGTTAACACCTAAAATTAGCCATCACGCTGGCTATCATTTTATTCCCTGTAGGTGGTTGTTAGTCAAACTTAGATGTGGTCATTCAATCAGCCTATGAAATACAAACAACTCCCCCCACCTCTACCCAGTGCTGATTTTATTCATTTGGCTTCTTGCATTTCTTTCCTGCAAGAAGTAAGGGAAAGCTTGCTGAGAAAGAAGTTGTACTGACTTTGTTTATTGTGGAGGTAGTAATCCAAATGAAAAGAAGGGATAAGTTACCTCCCACAAGCTACTGTACAGTCCTGACCACTGAGCCTGATTGGCGTAGGAGTAGAATGATAGCTAGCTATCTTGTTACTTTTTTAATCTCAAAGCACTGTCTTCTCAGCCTGAAGACCACATGAAAAGCATCCTACAGAGCCCAATGTAGCACAACACAGCCATCTACAAGGGAGCATCAGCCAGCAACAGTTGATAACACCTTCCACGTACTGCAGAAAAAGCAGTCACACTGAGCCCAGTTATCTTTTTGGACACCAAGAAACACTCAGGATGGCTCTACCCAGTGCAATGAACAGGAAGGTCTTCTCCTGTGTGAGTCAAGAGACATGTGTGCAGGAAAGAGAC